GTGACCTCTGCCAAGATCTCCCTCTGGGGAGGCCCATAAAATGAAAATGGAGGGGCCTGAGAGATACAGGGGGTAGGGTTCTTGCCGGGCATAAGGATGATGCCGGTACAATCCCTGGCACCTCATATGGTTCCCTAAGTCTGCCAAGATTGATCTCTAAGTACAGAGTAGGAGTAAGCCCTGAGAATGGCTGGGTGTGATCCCCCCAACAAAACAAAAAATAAAATAAAACTATGAAAATATGACATATATACACAGTGGAATAGTGCTTAGCTGTTAGAAAAGATGAAGTCTTGCCTTTTGTTAAGCTAAGCAAAAAAGTTAAAAGGAGAAAGACATATATCAGATGATCTCATTCATACGTGTCATAGAAAGAAAGCAAGAAAACAAAGTCCAGTAAGTCAAACGCATAGACTCTGACCACAAAACTGAGGTTATCGGAGTGTGAGGGTGGTGGAATGGGCTTAAAGGGCTCAACAAACTGCTGTGGAGGGATATTCATATTTTGATGATGGGCTTGGGATGGTGACATTGTTCCCGATAACACAGAAGAAAATATAAGAGCCGAAGAGATAAGACAGCAGATAAAATGCTTGCCTTGCATGTGTTCAAGCTAGGTTCAATTCCTGGCAACAAATATGATCTCCTGAGTACTTCCTGAGCACAAAGCCAGGAGTAAGCCCTGAGTACCTCTGAGTGTGAGAGAAGAAGGAGGAGGAGAAGGAGAAGGGACAACTTTAAAACAAAAAAAGTTGTAACTATCTCACAGTGATTTAATAAAAAACAGGCAAAAAAAAAGTTACTGAGAGAGAGAAAGAGGAGAAAAGTGCCTGCCATAGAGGTAGGGGTGGGGTGGTGGTGTGTGGAGTGGTGGGGGGAGGGTGATGTGAAGGAAACTGGGGACATTGCTGGTGTGAAATGTACACTGGTGGAGGGATGGTTGTTGGAACATTGTGACATTGTGTGACTGAAACCTGATCATGAACAGCTTTGTAAGGGTCTATCTCATGGTGATTCAATTTAAAAAATCATATAAATAAAAAGAAATCAAGCAGTCTTCTCTCTCTCTTTTTTTTTTTCTTTTTGCATCACCGGGGCTACTCCTGGCTTTGTACTCAGGAATTACTCCTGGCGGTGCTGGGGGGACCATATAGGATGCTGGGAATCGAACCCATGTCGGCCGCATGCAAGGCAAACGCCCTACCCGCTGTACCTGCTCCAGCCTTTCAAGCAGCCTTCTACAATGAGTAATTGGATTTCCCTTTTTCCATATCCAATAAAGTGAGTCAATAAAGTTAAAAATCGTACATGATAACCTTTCAGCATCTCTATTACAAACCATAATGCCTAAAATGAGAGAGAGAAAAAGAAAGTGAGAAAAGAGAAGTGCCTGCCATAGAAGCAGGATGGGGTGGGGTGTATACGGGGGGTGATTGGGAGGGAAACTGGGGACATTGATGGTGGGAAATTACACTGGTGGAGGGATGGGTGTTGGAACATCATATGACTGATATCCAATCATGAACAGCTTTGTAATGCTCTATCTCATGGTGATTTAATAAAAATAAATTAAATAATTAATTTTTTAAAAAGTTATCGAAGAGGCTTGAAAGGACTAGAGAGATAGTATAGGCATTAAAGTGCTTGCCTTTCATGTGACCGATCCCAGGCACTGCGTATGGTTCCCCAAGCACGATCAGGCGTGATCTTTAAGCACAGAACCAGAGTTGTTCTGTGAATGCTATTGAAAGACAGACTGAAAGGGCTTAAATGGAGAACCATAGCATTGCCATGACTAGGAAGATCAGATACTAAAAGATATTTGTGCAAAACCGGTTAGAAGAATAAACCTAATGAATCTCCAAACTGTTGGCTGGAAAGAAAGGAAACTTTGGAAGTTTATAACATAATATCACTGCATGAAATAAAAAAAAAACACCTAAAATTTAGGTGTTTGATCAAGGAAAGATAAATTTGTTTTTTTATGTTTTTATTTGGAGAGGGTAGGTGGTTGGGGGCCTATACCCTGTATCCTCTGGGCTATTCTTGGATCTGTGCTCAGGAAGGACACGTGGCAGTGCTCAGGGAATCATATGTGGTACTCAAGATTCCAACTAGGGTCAGGTAAATAAATGCAAAGCTAACGCTTAATCCCTGTTCTATATCTTGGGTCCAATATCAACCAATTTAGAATGGTATTACACAGCCTCGAGGATATTTGACCAAGACACTCAGTTTTTTTTTTTCTTTTTGGGTCACACCCGGCGATGCTCAGGGGTTACTCCTGGCTCATGCACTCAGGAATCACTCCTGGCGGTGCTCAGGGGACCATATGGGATGCTGGGAATTGAACCTGTATCGGCCATGTTGGCTGTGTGCAAGGCAAACGCCCTACCGGCTGTGCTATTGCTCCAGCCTTCAGGTTTGTTTTTATTTTTCTTTGTACATTATACTTACATGATATATATATATATATATATATATATATTTATTTTCTTTTTTTGGGCGGGTCAAACCTGGTGATGCTCAGGGATTACTCCTGGTTCTACACTCAGGAATTAATCCTGGCATTGCTCGGGTGACCATATGCGATGCAGGGTATTGAACCCAATTTGGCCACATGCAAGGCAAATTCCCTACCCACTGTACTATCACTCTAGCTTCCATATATATAATTTTCTTTCAGTAAATGCATATAAGAAAAGAGCACCAACTGAATGCATTTATGTAATTAGCACCCGGATCAAGAACATGCAGTTACTGCTGCAGAAGATCCTCTCAAGATATTACCAATTTCTCCTCACCTCAAAGGGGAATCACTATCTTGATTTCCAAACTCAGATTATTTTGTCTATTCTCATAAAGCCATATAAATATATCCTTTATTTTTGGCTTCTTTTACTCTCATTATGTTTATGAGGTTCAACCTGCTGCATTTCATCGTGTTTTCCTTTTGGGGTGAGGTAGGGGACCTCTGGCTCTGCACTTAGGGTTACTTCTTTTTTCTTTTTTTTTTTATTTTTTATTAGTGAAACACCATGAGGTACAGTTGTAGACTTACAAATTTTTGTACTTGGGTTTCAATTATACAATGATCAAGTACCCATCCCTCCACCAGTGCCCATTTTCCACCACCATGGATCCCAATACCCCTCCTACCCCCCATCCTCCCCATCCCATCCTGCCTCTGTGGCAGGGTATTCCCTTTTGTTCTCTCTCTCTTTTTGAGTGCTGTGGTTTGCAAAAGAGGCATTGAGTGGCAATCATGTTTGGTCTATAGTCTACTTTCAGCATGCATCACCCATCCTTCAGGGTTACTTCTAACTCTGCACTCAGGAGTTATTCTTGGTGGGCTCAGGAGGACTGTATGGGATGCCAGGGCTCAAAACGGGTTGGCTGAATGCAAGCAAGCCCTACCTGCTGTACTATCACTTTGACTCCCCAAAACAACATTTAAAAATATCCTTGGGGCTGGAAAGGTAGTAGAGCAGGTAGGGCATTTGCCTTGCACAAGGCTGACCCAGGTTCAATCTCTGGGATCCCTTATGGTCCCCTGAGTATCGCCAGGACTGATTCCTGAGCACAGAACCAGGAGTAACTCCTGGGCACTGCTGGGTGTCACCCCAAAACTATATGTGTATGTGTATGCACACGCATGCTTGTGTGTGTGTGTGTGTGTGTGATTAAAGCTATATAAATGTTTGTCTTAATCTTTAATCTTTAGAGTCTTCCCTGGGGCCAGAGAGATAGTTTTCAAAGGGTTGGAGCTCACACTTTGCCTGTAGAAGACATGAGTCCAATATCTAGTACTCCATGGTCCCTCAAAAATCACAGGGAGTAGCTCTTCAGTACTCTGGGTGTACCCCTCTCCCCCAAATAAGAGATTCCTGCCTAGGGTAAGGGGATAAATAAGTGAATTCTCCAGATTGTCTTTAACCTCCATGAGGAATAACTTAATCCACTCCTCAGAGGCCTGGGAGAAGACTGCCTGGTGTCAGATCATCACAGGGAGAGATATCCTAAATCAAGTGTGGACTGACTAGGTACGCAGCCTTACACTGGGTTCCACAGAGACTAACATTAAAAATTTAGCTTCTGGGGCCAGAGTGGTAGATACAGTGGGTAGGGCACTTGCCTTGCACGCTGCCAGCCCAGGTTCCATTCCTGGCACCATATAGAGTACTTCAGCTTATCAGGACTGAAACTTTAGTGAAGAGCCAGGAGTAAGCCCTGAGCACTGCTGGGTGTGTACCAACCACCCCCAACCAAAAAAAAAAAAAAAAAAACACAACTCAGCTTCTTCACTCATGGTTGGCATTTCTTTTTTGTTTGGTTTTGGAGCTAAAGTCTGCTGCTCCAAAGCTCGGTTGATGAAAGGCTGCTCCCAGCTCAGTTGATGCCAGCAGCACCTAAACGATCATGTAGTGCCATGCATGGAATCCAGCCTCCTGAGTGCAGAGAATGTGCTCAGCCCATTGAGTCATGTTTCTGGCCCATGGTTTGTCTTTCTATGGGGTGGAGGTGAAATTATAAAATCTCCTTCCAGACTGGAGAAAGGTGAACAGCCATGACTCCTTCTGCGCAGGCTTAGAATGAGAAGTGGTTTAGCATGGTGAGCTAGTACAGCGGGTAGGATGCTTGCCTTGCATGCAGTTGACCAGGTTCAATCCCCAGCACCTCATATGGTCCCCCGTGGAAGACTGAGCCTTGAGCACTGTCAGGTATGATCCCTGAATGCAGGGCCAGGAGTAAACCCTGAACACTGCCAGGTGAGGCCCCAAAATGAAAACAAACAGAAGAAAAAGAATGAAGTCTTGAATTGGAATTCCTGAATTGGGTGGAAGGATGAAGTGGGCGACTGTGTCATCCCTCTCGGGACAGAAGGTGGTGGTGACTCTTCTCCCAGCTCACACACAAAGGAACTTTATCTTTCCAGTATTCCCACTTCACTAAGAGGCTCTTTGTCACTCTGACCAGGGAGTGTGGGCATTTATCTGGGTTCTATTTCCTCCCCAGGACACCAGGCCCTGGGCCAGAGGACTTGCAAGCTCTCCTCATGGCAATCTTCCTCTTGCTCCTGTTCCTGTGTATGCCCTCCAATGCTGCAGGTAAGGAGTGAGGGCGGAGAATCTGCAGTTACTGAGGCAGTTGGGAGGGACTGTTTCTCTTTAGGGCTCGGTTCCCCCTGCCTCTAAACTAGTGAAGATCCAAGGACAGTGAGGGCCCATGTTATGATATTTCCTTTAAAAAATAAACACAGACTGGGGCTGGAGCAATATTGCCGTGGGTAGGGCATTGCCTTACACACAGCTGGTCTAGGTTTCATCTCCAAGCCCTGTTGGGAGTGATCCCTGTGTGCAGAGCCAGGAGTAAGTCCTGGGCACCACCGGATATGGCCCATACCCACTGGCTTCCAAAATAAAAGAAGAAAGAAAAGAAATATTGGGGGGCTGGCATGATAGCACAGCGGGTAGGACATTTGCCTTGCACGCAGCTCACCTGGGTTCATTTCCCAGCATCCCATATGGTCCCCCGAGCACCGGCAGGAGTAATTCCTGAGTGCATGAGCCAGGAGTAACCCTTGTGCATCGCTGGGTGTGACCCAAAAAGAAAAAAAAGAAAAGAAAAAGAAAAGAAACATAGGCAAGTCACTATTTTCAGAAAGTGAAAAACAAGAGAAAGAGATATGAGCGTTTATTATTAGTTTCAGCCTTTTCTCTCTTTCTCACAGAGTCCCTCACTTGCTGGGAAAGTGGGCCAAGACCCCTCTACCATTTCCTGTCCACCTTACTTTTGCGTAGCTGTCACTTGAGAAAGGGGCCCACAGCCAGGCCAGTGCTGGGGGGATCCCAGAAAGGGATTTGGGTGATGGGGACGTTGAGGGGCAGAGGACATTGACCTGTTGGAGGTTCCTGGTCTCATGCAGTGCCCTCCCTGCAGACAACATCCAGGCCATCTATGTGGCCTTGGGGGACGCGATGGAGCTGCCCTGTCCTTCGCCACCCGTCCTGCATGGGGACGAGCTCCTGTCCTGGTTCCACAGTCCTGCGGCGGGCTCTTCTACTGACCTGGTGGTCCAAGTTCCAGTGGCCAGGCTGGACCCTGGGAGGCCCGGAAGAGAGGCCAGGCCCAGACTCCTGGGGAACTACTCTCTGTGGCTGGATGCGTCCAGGGAGGGCGACGCCGGGCGGTACTGGTGTGCTGTGCTGGGGCAGCACTACAAGTACCAGAACTGGAGGGTGTATGACATCTCTGTGCTCACAGGTCAGTGGGGATGTGAGGACCAGGGCTTGCTGGGGGTTACGGAAGCCCAGGCAAAGAACTGAGGGGTCCCTCTCTCCTCCACAGGATCCCAGTTTTCTGCAAGGGCTGCTGATGGGACTCTCTGTTCTGTCCTCCTGTGCTCTGTGGTCCCTGCCAGACGCCTGGATTCTGTGACCTGGCTGGAAGGAAGGGGTCCTGTGAGAGGCCATGCACAGCCTTTCTGGAGTGATAGGGCCGCGCTGCTCTTGGTGTGTCCTGGGGATGGGCTTTCTGAGTCCAGGGGCCGCAGGCCAAGAATCATCCGCTGTCTCGTGTCTCAAAACAAAGGGATCATCTTTAGCCTGGCAGGTAAACTGAGGGAGGATATGGGGCAGGAAGTTACCTCTGGAAGTTCCATCCTGTGCCTGCTGGCTAGGGGAGGAGATAGATGAGAGAGGAGGTGAGTCTCTTACTGGCCAGGTCAGAGGCAGTGATTGCTGGTGAAACAAACCCCCTCTGTCCAGGAAGGGCTCTGTGTTCTCACTGGTTGCCTTGGGAACTGAGAAGGGGGTTGGCTAAGTCAACTTTCTGATAGAATAGAGTGTAAGCCAAGATGAGAGGAGGATTCTGGGAGAGTATACATATGTTCAGAAATAGGGGATCTGGGGGCTGGAGCAATAGCACAGCAGGTAGGGCTTTTGCCTTGCACATGGCCGACCAGGGTTCGATTCCCAGCATCTCATATGGTCCCTCGAGCCAGGAGTAACCACTGTGCATAGCTGGATGTGACCCAAGATGTAAAAATAAATAAATAAATAAATAGGGAATCTGGTGGTCATATGCATTTACCAACCTGAAAATGCCCCATTTCATCTGACCTCAGAAGCTAAGCAGGGCAAGACCTGGTTAGAGCTTTTTTTTCTTTTTTTCTTTGATATTTGTAGAATATCCCATAATTGAAAGAAAGGAAGAGAAAGTAAGAATGATTGCTAGGGGAGTTGTCTTTTGAAGAAAATATATTAAAGCACTGATGTTATAATGGCCCATTGATTATGAAAGCAGGAAGCTGGGCTCTATCCCCAGCACTGCATGGTCCCCTATTTATTGTTTTACAATAAAAAGTCTATTATAGGGGCTGGAGACAGAGTACAGGGGAGTAAGGCAGTTGTCTTGCCATGACAAATCTGGTTTGATCCTTGGCATTGCACATGGTCCCTGAGCACTGCCAGGAGTATGCACAGAGCACAGTTGGGTATGGCTCTGTCCCCCACCCCAGTATAGTATAGGTCTGGGGATGTGGCTCTCTGGTTGAGCACATGTCTCAAATGTGTGAAGGCCTGGATTGGGTCCCATTTACTGGATGGTGGAGAACATGATGAATGAATCCATTATATAGGAGGGAGGAGCAAATTGCCTTGAGTTTGGTAAGCAAAAGCCAGTTAATGGGAAGTGAATGGGTCTTAATTTCCTCTACAACTTCAGCACCTAATATGGTACTCAGCATTTGGCAATGAATTGTTGGATATTTTTTGGTTTTTTGTTTGCTTGTTTATTTGGGGTGCCATACCCAGTGGTGCTCTGGGGCCCATCCCAATTTGGAGTTCTGGAATTGCTCCTGGTGGTACTCAGGGGAGTATGCGATGTGGGGGATAGAACCTGGGCCTTTTAAACACCAAGTATGTGCTCTGGTCTCTAGGGCAAAACTCAAAATGCATATGGGATAAATGAATGGAAGAATTAGTAAACAGAAGACACAGAATTATTCTTGAGAGTGATCATTATATAGATCATTATAAAGAAAAATTACGGTTATTGGGGGCCAAAGCAATAGTATAACAAGTCAGGCACTTGCCTTGCTTGCAACTGGCCTGGGTTCAATCCCCAACATTCCATATGGTCCCCCGAACGCTACCAGAAGTGATTCCTGAGTGCAGAGCCAGGAGAGATCACTGAGTATTACTGGGTGTGGCCCAAAAACACTGTCACTGTCACTGTCACTGTCCTCCCATTGTTCATCAACTTGCTCGAGCGGGCCTAGTAATGTCTCCATTGTGATACTTCTTACTGTGTTTGGCATATTGAATACGTCATGGGTAGCTTGCCAGGCTTTGCTGTGAGGGCGAGATACTCTCGGTAGCTTGCCGGGCTCTAAAACAAACAAACAAAAATTTAATTATGATGGTGCTTGCTCTGGAGTTAGCTGGGAGGGCATTGCCATTCTTTCTTTCTTTCTTTCTTTCTTTCTTTCTTTCTTTTTTTTTTTTGCTATTTGGGTCACACCCGGCAATGCACAGGGGTTACTCCTGGCTCATGCACTCAGGAATTACTCCTGGTGGTGCTCGGGGAACCATATGGGATGCTGGGAATTGACTCTGGGTCGGCTGCATGCAAGGCAAATGCCCTACCTACTGTGTTATCACTCCAGCCCTGCCATTATTTTCTGCTGTTGACTCACAGAGTCAAGCTGACAGGTATAGAGTGGGAACAAGTGGGGTGGTGAGTATTGGGCAGAAAGAAGTTGAACCATTAGACTTTGGGGGAACCCTTTCTTTGGGACCTAAGAACATATCTCCCGTCACTGTCTCCTTCCTCCTCTGTCTCATCTTGTCCCATTGCAGCTCCCGTGGATGCCTCCCCTGGCCTCTGTGCCCCATCGATAGGCTGGGATGTGCCCTGGATCCTGGTGTTTTTGCTGATAGCTGGCCTGATGATCACCATCCTGATGCTTAGTTTTATGCTTTGGAGGCGGAGAGGGCAGGGCGTCCAGTACAGAGGTGAGTCTCTCCTCCCAGAGGGAAGAATAATTAGGTAGGTCAGAGGAAAGGACTGGGACCACATATCCGGGAGGAGAGAGTAGGGAACAAAACTCCGAGCTCTCTAGTAACTTCTCTGCTGCTTCCCATTAGGTTCCTCCCCTCCAAATACCAAGATCCCTCAATTCAAACCTGAAGTCCAGGTCTATGAGAATATCCATTTGGCTCATCTAAGGTAAGGAACAACTAAGGGGCGGAGGATTAAACCCCAGGCAGGGGTGGGGGTGGCATGGGGCTGGGGTTCTTGTTCCTGAAGTGAATGAAGTATGCAAGTACGCTTATTCTGTCTTTCTGCTTCATTAAACCCACAGCCCACCTGTCCTCAAGACCAGGTGTCCGTGACATTTTCTCCTGAGCAGTGTGACCTGCTCTCCTGGCCATCAGGCACTTGAAGGATTCCTCAAAATCTTGGCACGGGGGCGTGGGTTGTGCTTCATCACAGTCCATCTGGTCCTAGGAGTCAGTCTCTGTGATGTGTGTGTGTGTATTTGTGTGTTTGTGTGCTGACCTGGATTCACTATCTGACATCCCAGATGGTTCCCTGAGCCCCCGAGCACTGCCAGCCAGGAGTGCAGAACCAGGAATAAGTCCTGGTCACACCAGGTGTGGGCCAAATCTCCCCCTCAAAAAAAAAAAAAAAAAAAAAAAGCACTCATCCTGGATCCAGAGAGATTAACAGGAGTTAAGGAATTTTCCTTGCATTCCACTGATCCTGATTTCAATCCCCAGCACCACATATGGTTCCCTGAGCACCACGAAGGGTCACTCCTGAGCACAGAGCTAGGAATGTCCCTGAGCATAGCAGGGTGTGGCCCCAACTCTCTCTGTGTCAAAGAAGAAGCACTTGTGAACAACGTAATCCAGAAAAAGGTGTGTCTCCTTGTCTTAAAGCATTTGGTGGGCAGGGCAGCGATAACCCAAAGTATCAGGGGACTAAGGGGAACCAGTTTGGGGTTACAGAAAGGGGAGGACTGAGCAGAGAAGAATTCAGGACAGGAGAATTCATCCTGGGGAAAATGAGGAAAAGAGAAGGAAAGAGGATGGCTCCTCTCACAAGAGAAGCTGGCAGAACAAGCACTCTTAATCAACTCCAGGCTTCCTCACAACGGAGAGAGGAGACTGATCCAGGAAGGGTGTCCCTACTCCACCCCCACCCGAAGGCAGCCCCCCAAGCCCTTATCCTAGGCACTGCACTGTAGCATCCGGAGCAGTGAGCAGCTTATCACCACCCCGACATCCTGAGAGCCCGGAGGTCAGTCTATCTCCCCTGGGACATGGAGCCACGGAGGCGAGTGGGCAGATCCTGAGGGTGCGCAATGGAGTTCTGTGTGCTATCCTCGCTATGGACCATGGGCAAGTCTAGGCTTGTGAGACGGGGAGGACACAGAAGTTCCCAGCATCCTCCAGCTCCCAGTCTCAGGCAGAAATGACCTGAATCCCACGAGACACACCCTCAGAGAGGCTGCTTTGTGGGTGTCCTCTTGTGATTCTGCTCAAGATTGGCTCTCACCAGAGAGAAGCTGTCTCCAAAGTCTCACCCTAAGCCCTCATGCTGTGGTGAAGCTTCAACTAAGCTGTTGGCAAGACAGAGGATGTGAATGACACAGGAGAATTAGGCGAAAGTTATCATTCAGGTTCTAGCCTCACCCACCGTGTCAGAGTCTGCTCTCAGAGAGAGAGGACAAGCATACATGGATGGAAACACACACACACACACACACACACACACACACACACACAGCAAAAGAGTAGTGTTACCAGATCCCAAATAGCACTTTTATTAAATTTGCTCTTGCTAGTCCCCTGAATCCTCCTTCCCAGGGTCCTGACCTACCCACAAGCATCTTTCCTAGCAATTCCCTATCCTGGGACTTCCAGTTCCATTGGAAGTCTTTGCGTTGCTAGAGATCTGGGACTGGGCAAGACCATCCACAATGGGCATCTAGGAAAGGCAGAAGACATGGGTCACGTGTTCTTTAGGAGGCTAGCCTCTGGGCTGGCACATTGTCCAGAGGAGTCAGGGAGGCATCTGTGAAGGTGTTGGGTAAAGGTGGGAGGTCTCTGTACAAAATCAGGTTCTTGGGAGTACGTCAAAGTGGTGAGTGGGTGTTTCTGGGAGCAGGGTTGGGAGAGGAGTTCTGGGCTGAGGGCAGGAGGCTAGAAGAGGAGGTGACCTCCACAGGTGAGGCTGATCAGGAGGCAAAGCAAGGCAGTGAGGAGGGGGTTGGGGAGCCGTTGCAGGCTGTTGGCAGCGTTGCACAGATCCTTCTCACAACAGTGGTGTCGCAGATCATAGGAGCGTAACCAGTAGGTGGTATGACCAGGCACCGAGCACTCGGCCCGTGGGAGGCAGCCTTTCCGCTGGATGATCTCATTCTGATCTGTGGGGCAAAGGCAGAGTGAGATGGGGGCAGAGGGGGCCAGGACCAGGGGTAGAGGAAAGGCAGACCTGAGGAGGGAGGGGAAGGACCAGGAAAGGGGCCATTAGACCCCAGAGTCCTACCTGAGGTGCCGACACTGATGCCACAGACTTCATTTTCCTGACACTGGGTAGGAATCGGGTAGCAGGGTTTGGCGAAGCTGCAGGTATAACACTGGAGCCGCCCCCAGGCAGGGGAAGTGGCGAGGCCTGTGGGAGCAGGAGAATCAGGGAGGGAGGAGAAGCAAACAGGCCCAGCGAGGCCAGCCCAGATCTGAGACAGGGGTGCCCAGAGGCAGCATGGGGCGGGGAAAGGGTGAGGGGTGGTGGGGAAAGAAGGGCAGACAGAAGTAGAAAAAGGGGGGACTGGAGCGATAGCACAGCAGGTAGAGTGTTTGCCTTGCATGAGGCCGACCCGGGTTCGATTCCCAGTATCCCATAGGGCCCACCGAGGACCTCTAGGAGTAATTCCTGAGTGCAGAGCCAGGAGTAACCCCTGAGCATCGCCAAGTGTGACCAAAAAAAAAAAAAGCAAAATTAAAAAAAAAGAGAGAAGTAGAAAAAGGGACGGGAGGGAAGGGAGACAAGGCACAGAGGCAAGAGGGTTAAGAGGAATTGTCAGAGAAGCACAGATGTGAGCAGAAGAGAAGCAGAGAGGAGCTGAGAGAATGATGCCAGAAGCCAGACAGGGGGTGGCAGGGAAGGAAGAAGTTAAACAGATGGTGCCAGAGAGAGATGAGAAAACAGGAACTGGCATGTATTGGGGTGGGGGGGTGGGCAGCAAAGCAGCAAACAGTGAGCCAAGGTACAGGGCACACAGTGGCTTGTCAGAGATCCACAGGAAGAGACAGTTATCTGCAAACACCTTTGAAAGGAAACTTCCTGTTGCCCCTTATAAGGCTGGTCTGTGGCCACTCCCAGCAGATCTCCTCTCGAAAGCCCAAAGCCCATTCAGTTCGCTCCTTGCCTTTTCCTAGCCCTTTCTCCTCAACCCACGGGTTCCTCCACAACCCCCCAACCCCTGCCCCCCCTTTCCTGCCCCCTCTTCCCTGCCCCTGCCCCTTACCCAGAGCCCCACAGAGGAAGAGGCTGTAGAGGAAGGTGCTGGAAGTACCCATGGCGGAACCTGGGGCTCAGAAGCCTGGGAGACTGTGAGCTGCACCCCAAGGTCCTGAGAGTTGAGGAGTTGGAGCATCTGAGGCAGGGAGGGACAAGTAGGCAAACACACCTAAGGAGTGAATCCGGAGAGGCGGAGAACCTGGATTCCCCGCCTGCCTGCCTGCCATGCGGGCCCTGCCCCCTGCTTGGCTGGCGTTCCCTCGCCTTGAGGGTCCTCTGAGGGTTTGTCAGCTGTGTCTGCCACTCCCGAGCGCTGTCTGCCACCTTGCGAGCGCTCCTCTCCCTCTCCCCAGACTCCAGCAGTTCGCAGCCCTCGCAGCTCGGCTCCCTTTTGCCGTCTCTCCACCCCACCCCACTGCGTTTGAGCCTCCCAAGGTCACCCTCCTGAGCACGCAGTTGTGCCAAAGCGGAGCGAGTGTTTAAGGTACAATCAATGATGCCCTGGCCGCCCTCCCTCCACACCCCAACAAAGCCCAACTCCGGAAGGAAGGACCCCACCCAGCTTCAGATCCCTTTGATTCCCCCAAGCCTCAACATTGCTACCCCATAATTATCCCTCACAGCTTTATTACCTTGGAGGAAAGAATTCATCACAGATGGGGCCAGAAGGTCGATGTGTTTCCACTGGGAGGGAGAGATTATGGAAACAAAATTTTGGGGTGGTGGTGGTAGAATTTGGATGACAAACGGGCTGGAGAGATAGTACAGTGGGTAGGGCACTTGCCTTGCATATGGCTGGCTGAGTTCAGTCCCCAACAACGCATAGTCTCCTGAGAACTGCCAGTAAGCCCTGAGCACTGCCAAATGCGGCCCAAATCTCTCCCACCACAACCAAAAAGCGAGATAGAGGTGGGAGGGGAGCTGCATTTGGGGAATCAGGGTAGGGCTCTAGCAGGAGTAAGACTTGGGGGCAGGAAGGGGTGAGGAGTAGAGGGGACTCAGATACTCATTGAGCAGAAATTTCCAAACCTTTTTAATCTCAAGATTCCTTTACATTCTTCAACATTACATCAACATTACAAAAGACACAACAGCCCCTTCTTTATTGTTAGAAATCAAAACAGAACTTCCTAATAGATTCATTTAAAAATAAAAATAACCTGTTGCATGATGACAAAAAGTCTTGTGAAAAATAGTTTGCCACAGGGTGAGAAGATTGACATTGTTCTGCGTTCTGGGATTGTCTGATGTCAGGTTTAATAGAAGATGCTGGGGGGCAGAGCCATAGTACAGCAGGTAGGGTGCTTGCCTGGCATGTGGCTGACCCAGGCTCAATCCCTGGCACCGTGTATGGGCCCCCAGACTCACCAGGACTGATCCCTGAGTGAGCACTCTCCAAAACGGCAACAACAGAAACTAAAAAAAAAAAAAAAATAAGATGCTGTACTTTCCTCTCTGGGCCGGAACGATAGCACAATGGGTAGGGCGTTTGCCTTGCACGTGGCCAACCGGGGGTTCGATTCTTCCATCCCTCTAGGAGAACCCGGCAAGCTACCGAGAGTATCCTGCCAGCGCGGCAGAGCCTGGCAAGCTCTTCGTGGTGCATTCGATATGCCAAAAACAGTAATAACAAGTCTCACAAAGGAGACATTACTGGTGCCCTCTCGAGCAAATTGATGAACAACGGGAGGACAGTGCTACAGTGCTACTTTCCTCTCTGCTTATGCATCTACTCTGCTGAGATATGGCTTTGGCGGAAGTCTAGGATGAACAGCCGACTTCACACAGATGTCTGGAAAAGGAAGATCCATATGGACCCACAGGAAGTTTAGGGGCCCAGTTTCAGAATCACTGCAGAGGATGGTGGCACAGGTGCTCAGAGCTCATTCTCCTTAAGGTGCCCCTCCCTGTCCCCATTGGGGCCCCTGGTTCCTGCTGGGGGAGACTCTTTCCTGCCCTTTTTATTGCCCTGTAAAACCCAAGGCAAGGGGGATATAAGACTGGCAGAGGGCGGAAGGGAGGGGGGGCGGGAGGGAGGGCCGTCCCAGGACTACACCATGAGCCCCGGGCTGATCCTGCTGTGCGCCCTGCTGGGTGCTGCCTCGGGTAAGGAGGCCACTGGGCAAAGGCACCTCACTTCTCTCGCTTTTCCGGCAGGCCTGACCCCTCTGCTGGCGGTGAGAGCCCAGCTCCAGAACTTTCTCTCTCCTGCCAGGAAACCGTATGCGGTGCTACGACTGTGGCGGGGGCTCTGGCAACTCCTGCAAGGAGACGGTGATCATGTGCGGTGAGGGCGAACGCTGTGGCTTCCTGGATCGCAAACCCCAACAGGGACAGAACAAGCTCCCTGCCAACCGTGAGTTCATTTTCCCCTCTCCTTCTTCTTCCCTGCCTCCATTCCCTCTTGGGTCTTTTGGCTTCCAGAACCTTCCACACTCAGTCTAGCTCTGGGCAGATGGTGGCTCTGTCAGAGCAGAGCAAGCTGAAGCCCGTTCTGGCTCCTGGAAGCCCAAGTCCATGTGCTCCTACCTCCCTCTTCTGCCTCCAGAGACTCCCCTAGACCTGGTCACTCAGGACTGATTGAAGAAAGCTCTGTGCCCTGAAACCAGGCACCCAACTATTAGAGCAAACTCCAACTTTTCAGCATTTGCTAAGGACCAGGGAGGCATGTACCTTGTTTAATTTTTTTTTTTCCTTTTGAGTCACACCCGGTGATACTCAGGGGTTACTCCTGGCTCTGCACTCAGGAATTACTCCTGGCAGTGCTCCAGGGACCATATGCTGGAGAACCAATCCACACTGGCTCTACCTGCTATACTATTGCTCTCACCCCATACCAGGTTTAATTTTTTATCTTGAAATAATTTTGGAAGGAATTTTGGCCATACCTGGCAGGGCTCAGGAGCTGCTCCTGTTTTTGTCTCAAGGGTCATTCCTGGCAGTGCTCAGAGATCAAGCCAGGGTCTGCCGCATATAAGCTTTCACCCCTGGACAGTTTCTTTGGCCCCTATCTTGAAATAATTTTAGATGGACAGAACAGTTGTAAAAATAATACAGGCCTTTTCGATGTCCTTCATCTAACTTCCTTTAATGTTAATATCTTCCACAGACAGAGTATAATGATCAAAGTTGGAAAAGAACATTGTCAGTGGAGCCAGAGAGTTAGTATAGAGGGTAGGACACTTGCCTTGTATGTAGCAGACTTGAGTTCAATATAGTTCCCTACTTCCCCAGCCCTGAGCACCTCTTGGTGTGTGGCTACACACACACACACACACACACACACACACACACACACACACACACACACTGTCACCGTCCTCCCATTGTTCATCGATTTGCTCGAGTGGGCACCAGTAATGTCTCTATTGTGAGACTTGTTGTTACTGTTTTTAGCATATCGAATACGTCACGTGTAGCTTGCCAGGCTTTGCCGTGCAGGCACGATACTCTCGGTAGCTTGCCAGGTTCTCCGAGAGGGGTGGAGGAATCGAACCCGGGTTGGCCTGAGTCGGCCGCGTGCAAGGCAAACAAACGCCCTACCCTCTGTGCTACTGCTCACACACACACACACACACACACACACACACATACACAAAAAATAGAAAGAAAGAAAAGAAAAACATTATGATATTGTTATCTAACAGACCTTATTCAATTTTGCCAGTTTTTTTCACTTTGTTTTTGTTATTGTTGTTCAGGACCCAAATCATAATTCCATGTTGCATTTAGCCCTTTGCTTTTTGGGGTCACACCTGGAAGGGCTGGGGGGTGTTACTCTCTGTCAGGTACTGGGGAAAGGAACAGCTCTGAATGTTCCTGCTTGCAAAAACAGTCCTTTGTGCATTTACCCAGCCCTTGATGTTGTTTTATAGAACAGCCCTCAGTTTGGATGTATCTGGTATTTTTTCATGATTAGATAGAAGTGAGGAGTTTTTTTTTTGTCTGTTTTTTTGTTTTTTTTTTCTTTTTGGGTTGCACCCGGTGATGCTCAGGGGTTACTCCTGGCTTTGCACTCAGGAATCACTCCTGGCGGTGGTTGGGGGACCATATGGGATGCTGGGAATCGAATCCAGGTTGGCCGCATGCAAGGCAAACGCCCTATTGCTCCAGCCCCAGAAGTGAGGAGTTTTTGACAAAATCATAGAAGTCTTGTTGACCCTTTTCATGGAGCTTGTGTGTGTGTGTGTGTGTGTGTGTGTGTGTGTGTGTGTTTTGTTTTGTTTTTTGGAGAAAGAGAGTCCCTTTACACCCTTGGAAATTAACATCTGCTCAGAAATTACCTCTTGCCCAGCAAGCAACTCTTGAAGCCAGGAGTCTAACACTCTGGTCTCATTCTCTCACTCAGCCCCAGTGACCTTTATTCATCACCATCCGGCCTGTGTGGCTTCCCATCATTGCAATCAAGTGGAAACAGAGCTGGTAGGAGACGTGACTTACACAACCCAGAGAGACTGCTGCATCGGAGACCTTTGCAACAGTGCCGTGCCAAGCACCATGGCCTCTGCATGCATCACGGCTGTGGCAGCCGCCGCCCTGGCATGGCTCTTGCCTGGACTGTGGTTGAGATAGCAGGAGTAAGGGGAAGGGATATGAAGAAGGGAAGCAGAGAATGAAGGACATATGAGCAGGCAGTACCGGATACTCCTCTGTGGACCATTAAAATCTACTCACCACCTTAGAGTTGCCTGGCAAATTCCTTCTATCTTTTGTTGATGCAAGGGTTGAAGGAACACAATGGGAGACCAAACGTGAACTGGGAGGTTACCAAAGGCCACTGGGCTCACCTACGAAGGTGCACTTTTTTTTAAGCGGGGCACACCTGGTGATGATCAGGGGTTACTTCTGGCAGTGCTCAGGGGACTTATTGGATGTTAGGGGTGGGATTCAAATGCAGGTCACTGTGTGCAAGGCAAACACCTTATACACTGTTCTATCTCTCCAGTCTCTATACTTCTTCATTAAACCCCAAAGGAAAAGGGATATTATGTCAGAAATGACTCCTGAATCCAGTTGCTAGGGGGTTCTCCTTAGCAACAAGGATTTTACTGAGGGCAGCAGGCGAGGGAGTGGGTGAGGGTCCCCAGTATTCTCTCGGCCTGGCTGTCCAGGCTTGTTCCCCTTTTCTTCATTTGTAGCTTGGCCTCAGAAGGCTGTTTTGAATGGACAACACAAGCAAGAACATAGTTGCTTAGTAACCAGCCCAGGCAAGGTCTCCAGGGTCTCGGGCCCATCCCTTCCTCTTTCTTACCCTTTCTGGAAGCCCGCAGGTCAGGCTGCACATCATTGGCGGTACATCAGAGGTGTGGCCTCTGTTTGGGATAGGGATTGTTTCTCCAAACACTGGGACCAGTGTGCCTCCCCCAGGTACTGGAAGGGAAGATGGTGGCCTGAAAAACTTGTTTCTCCATTTGCCCAGCCTGGCCTCCCAGGGAAACTCCCTGAAGGATTCCAGGGTGAAGGTAGGATTCCAGAGTGAAAGGGAGGGGCTGTGTGTTATTCCCAAGAGGGGTCTTCAGACAATAAATGCACAATTTCTCAGACCCAGAATAAATTTATTATTCAAAATGGAAAAAGGTAAGCATGGGGACGGGGTACACTGGCAATCAGGGTTTGAGGGAACAGCCCCAAATGATCAGGTCCTTCCTCGGAGCCTCCAATGGAGACAAGTGAGAAGCCCCATTTCAGGACTAGACCCCAATCGCTTCCATGTAGAGCACAGGTGAGTGCAGGAGGCAAAGTGGGGACTCCTTCTAGGAGGCAACTTCTAATGGTCTATAGGGAAATGGAAGGGACTTGATAAAAAGAGAGTAGAGGGGAGGGAGGGAGAAGATGGACAGGGAGACCACTCTCTAATTAAAGAAATGTGAAGGATCTGGAGAAATGCTTTTTAGAGCAAAGATGGTGAGGGTGAGACCCTTCTGGAAAGCCAGGGCACAGGGAGCAGGGCTCAGGCTAAGGCAGGTGGGAAGAGAGGCAGCCATGGACAACGTCTCAGTGCAGCAGCCAGAGACCAACACCAGCCAATGAGGCGAGGAAGACAAGGGAGAGGGCAGGGGTGGGCCGAGGGGCTGGGTTATTGCAGTTGTCCTTATCGCAGCAGGTGGTATTGTAGTTGAGGCCCAGCTTGTGGACGGTTTGGTTGAAGGCCTCCCGACAGGGCTCTTCCGGTGTGCCACATCGAAGGTTGGAGTAAATCCACATCCGACCTGGGGGTAGAATGGGCAGTGGAGTCAGCTAAAACAAGGGATCTGGGCAAGCCTGGGTCCACCTCCCCAACTCAGGCACCCAACCACCCAGGCCCCCTTCCTTCCTTCCACCTCTAGTCCTGATTCTGCCTTTCTCTGTCTCATCACAGTCATCTTCCTCTTTCACTTCCTTCCCTACCCTTTACCCCAATCCCCTTTCTGTCCCTAGCTGGCGATGGGTATTAAGCCCAGTGATTGTCCCTTTCTGAGGCTGTTTGCGCCATGGAATAATGATAATTATAACATCCACAGTGGTTATGAACATGACTTGAAATGACCTATGTTAAAAACCCATCATCCTGGGTCATTTACTGTCATTTCTATGATTTTTCCCTTTCTTCTTTGGTTTTAGGCCTGGTTGGTTCAGTTTTCAGGTGGAGTCTCCCATCAGCCCAGCCTCCTCTCCTCACTAAAGAAGAAGTATTGGGGCCAGGGAGCAGTTCAGTGCCCCCCCAGCACTACATTGTTCCTCCCACACCCTTGGGAACAAACCCTGAGCACTGAGCTGGGAGTAGCCACTGAGCACTGAGTACTACTGATGTGCCTATCCCTCTGAAAGAAAAGAAAGCATGTTACCAAGGTACACATTAGTTGTCAGGCATTTGTGTCCTGGTTCCAGGCGACAGGACTGCCGGTCCACACAGCCCAGCACGGGGACCTTGTAGCAGGAATGACAGCGAATGTCAGCTGCAAAGACATAAGTTAGTTGAGGTGATGGGGTGTCTGAGTCACCTGGGAATGAGCTGCGCTTGGGGGTAGGGTGGAGAAGAGCCAATCTTGTAGGTGTTTCAACCTGTTTGGTCTGGTAGGCAGGTGAGTAATGCAGAAAAAGTGGAAGTAGGTGAGGGTGGAGTTGTTGCTCTGGGAATGGCCCACGCCCTAAATCTTTCCCTCCACCCCATCTGAGGATGAGTCAAGAGGGGTAAGCGCTAACAACAACAGTGAGGGGCCGGCTGGGGAGAGATGGAATGTGAGGATACTGTGGAAAGGAATGAAGAAGATGAGGCAGAAGATAAAGGAATTCAGAAGTCATAGACAGAGACTTGGGGGCAGGAAGAAATATTAAAAATAAAAACCATGGTGGTTCCAACAAAAGCAGAAATGGCTCTCAACTCAACTGGCAGAAAGTCACCTTTGGCCAGCTTGGGCAATGGACGTTTAACTTTCCAGGGCTGCCAAGAGCGTGGGAAGAGGCATTCGAGCTGAATGGAATCCTCTCACCCCCGGCAAGTCTCTGACAGAAAGGAACAGTGTCTGGGAGACAGTTCACCAGATCCCATTTGGGCATCTTGCCAAAACAGAGAGGGTGGATGCAGAAGGTGGCACCCACCAAACTCCCTGCCTCAGCTAGTTTAAAGTTGGGGTGTGCATGGTTTAGTGAAGGAAAGATCAGTGCAGAGTGGAGGAGCCTAGGAAGGCACCTCGGTGAAGCCCCCTAGCCCCTGCCCAAGCAGCCTGGCGTTCGCTCCCTGAGTGGCAGGAGAAATCTCTTTTCCTCTGGAGGTTCTATGAGGCCATTGGAATCCTCCAGAAAGCTTGTGTCCCTGGGGGTATGTGACCCAGAGGGAGCAGAGGAAAGGTCACTGCTGAGGAACAAAAAAGAAAGTCCCAGTGGAGCAGGTAAGAGGGTGGGGCGAGAAGGAATCCGCAGGGTGAATGCCTGGGTTCTGAGTGGATGCCCCACCGAGTGCCAGGAGAACAGAGAGCAGGGAAGCGGGATCCTGGGCAGATGTGTATCAGTGCGGCCAGCAGCACCGGCTGGCGGTTTCTGAGAAGGAGGACCTTGGAGTGGGAACCAAGGAAGCATGAGCCCTAGCAGGTTAGAGGGGTCTTCTTGGAGGTGGGGAGGAATCTGGAGAATCAGCCAGAGGAAGGTCCTTGAGCACTGGACCAAGAACCCTGACCTCAGGATTCTGTCCTGGGGGCACGAAGGGCTTGAGCCATTTGGGGTACCAGAGCTTGGAATCCTGAGTGGGGCTAGTGTGAGGGGGAGAGTGGGTCAGGGTATAAAAGTCCTGACTGGGAAGGTCCCCGGTTCTTCGGGATCCCAGTGCTTACCTGAGACCCAGCACAGCAGAGAAAGCAGGATGAGCAGCGCGAAGCCTTTCATGGCGAGGGTCCTGGGAACAGCGGCAACTGTAGCACCTTCCGAGATTCTGGGGGATCTGGCTCTGAGAGTTGAGAGGTCTTTTTGCAATTTATAATCCCAACGGTCCCTCCCTTCCCTGCCTCAGGTGGCCCCTCCTCCATTTACGTACAGCTGACAGCTGACGGAGGAAAAGACCAGAGTTGGGGAGCGGCTGAGGACTGGGTGAGGCTGTGGGAATGAGAGAAAGGAGGGGTGAGGGGAGGGGCACAGATGGCCAACTCCATTTTGGTTGTCAGTTTCAGGCCAGGACCCTCCACTCCCGGCCTTAACCTGACGGCCTTGCTTGTTCATTCCTTTGAAGAAGAGTCAGCCAAGGCCCTTGTGCTGGGTCCACTGGTTTTTGAGAAATGGACAGTAGGGTGTGATCTACAATGACCACCAAATTTGGGGCCCTGGAGGGCAGAGATTATGTGAGTAGAAATTGAGGGATCATATTAATCTTTTCCTAACATCTACTCGGTTCTGGGATGAAGCAATAGGGTTCGTGAAGTCACGAAGATTTTCTGTGATGTTGTGGCTACAAAGGCAGGGGGTGAAACTGCTTGCTAAAGAGAGGCCACCTCCATCCTCCTGAAGGTCCTTCGCCTTGCCCTGGCCCTACTAGGGCCAGGCATGAACTCAGTTTCTCCTGGACCAGAGAGGGCCTCTGAATCCCTGGTGTGGGGTATACTCACTTGTCCAAAGTGCCTTTCCCATTAAAGCCTGCTGTTTGGGTGGGGCACCTAACACTGCGAGGGTAGCGTGGGCACAGAGAGGTGAGGTAGAAGCTAAAATAAGAATAGAACAATAACAATGGCAAGCACTGGAGTAGCATTCCTGTGTGCACAACTCCAGGCATATTTTGTATTTTTTTTTTTTTGACTTTTTGGGTCACACCCTGCAATGCTCAGCGATTACTCCTGGCTCTGCACTCAGGAATTACTCCTGGCGGTGCTCGGGGGACTATATGGGAAGCTGGGAATCAAACCCAGGTTGGCGCGTGCAAGACAAACGCCCTACCCACTGTGCTACGGTTCCAACCCTAGGAATATTTTGTATATTTAGTTCTCATGTTACTCTTTGAGGTAGGTGCATTTAACTTCGTTTTTCACGTGAGCAAAGAGGCCCCAGAAGAGTAAGCAACTTGCCCACATTACGCAGCTGGTAGCCGAGGGAATATCAGGATTTGAGTTCATGTAACTGGCATCAGAATCCCAGATGTTGCCGGCAACAGGAGGCTGAGTTAAAGGAAGTGAGGCACAGTTGAGCCAGCTGGTTTTAAACAGCATTCCAAGAAGGACGGGGCAGATGGTGGCCAGGCCCTTCTTCTTCTTATCAGGCCGCACAGACCCTAGATGCCCGGTCCTCTTCCTCCCGCATCCCCCCAGCTTCCCCCGACTGCCCCGCTGATTCACTTGTCCGTCTCCACTGGCCACATCCCAGCCATGGCCCTGTTTCTGCAGCTGCTACCGCTGCTGCTGTCCAGGAGTCAAGGGGACCCTGGGGGTAAACGACCCCTGGGGAAACTGTGATGGAGGAAAGACTGGGGAGGGGGGGCTTCTGGTGGTGTTGGGGTGTGGGGAAGGTCGTAGAGCATAGAAGAGAGCAGGCAAGACCAGTGTGTGAGGGGGTAAGGATGGGGTGGGAGGCAGTCTTGTGGGCGGGGGGACTGGCTGTAACCTCCGCATTCCCCACCCCCGTCTCTCCCCCCCACCCCTCCAGCTGCACTGGACGGCAGCCCCGGGGACCGGGTGAATCTCTCCTGTGTGGGGGTCTCGCATCCCATCCGCTGGGCCTGGGCGCCGAGCTTTCCGGTCTGCAAGGGTCTGTCCAAAGGCCGCCGCCCGATCCTGTGGGCCTCGGCGACTGCGACCCCCACGGTGTCTCCGCTCCAGCCCTTCGCGGGCCGCCTCCGCGCCCTGGACCCGGGCATTCGACGGCTGGAGCTGCTCGTGAGCGCCGGGGACTCGGGCACCTTCATCTGCAGGGGCCGCCAAGAGGACGAGAGTCGGACGGTGCTTCACGTCCTGGGGGACGGGCCCGACTGCAGGGCTCCGCGGCCGACCCAAGGTACGTCGGGGGGCTTCGCGCACTTAACCCGAACCCCCCCAGCCCGGGCGTGCGGGAGGGCTCGACTGGCCCCGGAGGGTGAAGACTGTTCTGGAGGGAACAGCTGCCTTCCGCGAGCCAGCCCCCGTGGCCACCGCACCCAGGAGACATTTTTAGGATCCGTCTGTCTTGGACCCTTCTTCAAACTCTGGTTTTCATGAACGCTGTCTCCGTCCTTGGTCTCCAACATCCCTCCCTGTCCCCAGGGTCCGTGTACCCCCAGCTCCTGATCGCGCTGCTGAGCGTGGGGCTGCTGCTGGGACTCGGGGCGTTGGGCGTGGCATGCTGGTGGCGCAGGTGAGCGCGGGGCGGGGCCTGGCCTGGGGGTCGCGAGTACCGGCGGGAGGGGCTGAACCCGAACCCCCGCTGCGAGAAGAGCTGGAATCCGAGCCCTTGGGGGCTGGCTCCGAGGAACTAGGTGGCGGCGGGGGTGGGGTGGGGGTGGGGGTGGGGGAATGTTAGAGCTCGGCGACGAGCCTCGGATGTTGGTGGTGGTGGGGGAGGGGAGGGTTGTTGTTTTGCGGACCCGAGTCCCCAGGTTGTAGGTGGCGGCGGCCTCTGCGCTTTCCCTGATCTCCGCATCCCCTACAGGCGCTGGGCCCCGCACCCGCTTCCACCACACCCCCGATCTGGTGAGACTAACTCCTCCCCGCGTCCCTCCTGCCTCCACATTCCCTGCCCCTAATTCCTGAGTCTGAGCCCTTGCCGGGAGCAGACAAGTTGGTCACCTTCTCTCAATCCTTCAGCTCTGTCCCCCCCACATAGCTCCACTCACGGAGGAGCCCCAGAGGCCAGTAAAGGAGCAGGAGGAGCCTAAGATCCCGGGGTACCTGGACCCGGAGCCGGTAAGGATGTGGGACTATGGGAGAGGAGAAGGGGCGGACCAGAATCCCTGAGGAGAATGGACCAAGGGCCCTGGTCGAACCGAGAGAGTGGGACTGCTGAGCCCTTCCTGCCTCGCTCCTCTCCTTCAGAGCCTGCACTACGCAGACCTGGACCAGATGGCCCTCAGGAGGTCCTGCCGCTTGTCCCCTGCGGTCCCGGGGGATGCCTCCACCATCTATGCCATTGTGGTTTGAAGGGAAGCCCTTACTCCAGACCTCAGCCTGCGGGCTGCCCCAACCCTCTTCTTGGCTCCACACTTGGAAAAAGAGGCCTCATGGCATAGAAGTGAGCAGTAAGCTGGGGGCCAGGAGACTGGGCTTCAGGCTTCTGATCTGGCTTCTTCCGTTGTCCCTATCCTGTATAGCTTCCCTATCTTCTTCGCCTTGGTATGCTTTAATACGAAGACATCCACCACTCAAAAGTAGTTGCCCCATCTGTTTCTTCTCCCTGCCCCACCCCACAGTAAAACTCTTAGAACCAAGAGATCTCTTACTCCCAACACTCCACTTTTCACTTACTGCAACTGCTCATCTGCTCTCTGTCAGGTTGCCAAAGACATAATGGCCACTCCCAGGAGACATTTTTAGCATTCATCTGGCTTGACTTGGATTGCTCTTAAGTCAGACTTTTGGAGGCCTGGAGAGGCAGTACAGTAGGTAGGGCACTTGCTTTGTAAGCGACCCACCTGGGTTTGGTCCTCAAAGGGCGTGGCCCAAATGACAAAATAAAGTCATATTTGTCTTTCATGGTGTTTTGGTCTTTAATTTGTCTTTAAGGTGTTTTCTGGCTTCTTTCCTTGTTCCCGATCTCCAGAATTTCCCCGCCATTCTAAGTTTACCTCTTTTTTGGTTTTTATGTGCCACAGTCAGCTTCAGAGCCACTCTTTGCTCTGTGCTCTGGGCCGTGCCTACTGATACTAAGACTTGAATCAGTGTCGTTGGCTGCTGTTACATGCCATTACTTTTTGGTACTATCTCTCCGGCCCTAGGTTTGCCCTTCCTTTTATCTGCCTTCCTTCTCTTCTGAGAAGTTATCATCCACAGCCAGTCCTCACAGTCCTCAGCCCTTACCTCTACAAAACTTTTTTTTTTTTGCCTTTCTGGTCACACCCAGCGATGCTCAGGGGTTACTCCTGGCTCTGCATGCAGGAATTACTCCTGGTGGTGCTTGGGGGACCATCTGGGATGCCGGGGATTGAACCTGGTCGGCCACGTGCAAGGCAAACGCCCTACCCCACTGTGCTATCGCTCTGGCCCCTTCTAGAACACTTTTGCCAGCTCACACCTGAGGTCTGGAATTTCCCAACTGTCCCCTGGAAATACCTGCCTGGGTTGGTTCGCCCTGGGCATTTTGCATACAGCCTATCGAAAATCCAACCCGGCATCACTCCCAAGACACTCACTTAATCATCCTCGGCACTTCTCATTGCTCAAGCCAGAAACCAGAAGTTATGCACTGTCTTCCCTTGCTCAATCCCACCCTGTGAATCAAATCCTACTTTATTTTAGGGGGTGCCTCACCCAGGATGGGTCACACTCTCTTGGGGGTGCAAACCCTGGACTCCTGCATGCGAAGCCTCTGTTCTAGCTCTCTCAGCCCTCCTCGGGGCCAGCCTCCTGTCTTCCTTTTGTTCATTTTTTGGGCCACACCCAGCCATGCTCAGGGATTACTCCTGACTCTGTACTCAAGCATTATACCTGGCTGGCTCAGGGAACCACATGGACTGCTGGGATTGAATCCAGATCAACCACGTGCAAGGCCAGCACCCTCCCCACTACTCTAGCTCTGGCCCTGTCTTCCTATTTTTTTTGGTGGGGGCACACTACTCTAGCTCTGGCCCTGTCTTCCTATTTTTTTTGGTGGGGGCACACCCAGCAATGGTTAGGGGTTTTTCCTGGTGTTGCTCAGGTCCATATGGGATACAGGGAATCAAACCCAGATAAACTTGGCCCTACGCTCTGTATTATCTCTTTGATTTCTGTCTCCTTATTTTAATGTCACTGTCAAATCCTGCTTTTGACGTGCCCAGTGCTGCCACCTGCTTGTATTTCACTCATTTCTTCCTTGGATTAATCATAGCCCCACTTTATCTCCCTGCCCTCATCATCTTCCCTAAATTCAGAGATCTTCCCCAAATGCCCAAATGACCCTCACAACCCCTTCTTCAAAGAATTGCAGTTCCTTTCTCTCCTTGACTTGTAATTCTGTGTCCCTGTGTCCCTTGGCTTTGGTGCAAGAGCTCTGCTTACTGTCACTGCACAGCATGTCACTGGGCCCGTATTACAGAAGTTCTTCAGTCTGTAAGCATGCCTTTGCCTGTTATAGTTTCTTCTTTCTGCATTGCTTTTCCCCCATTGTCTGTCCAATTCTTTCCTATCCATGAGACTCATTTCAAGTGTAGCCTTTTGGGGGGGAGGCCATTTCTGACCCTCTTTGCTCTCTTGCATCCACTATTTTTTTTTTGGGGGGGTGCACACATGCCCAGTGCTCAGGTTTAGTCCTGTGTGCTTAGAAATCACTCCTACTGGTGCTTAGAGGATCATATGGGATGCCAAGGACTGTTTTGGCATTGTTTGCAATGCCAAATGTTTTGGACCATTGTTTGCAAGGCAAGTGCCTTACCCACTGTACTATCTTTCCAGCTGCCCCTCCATATACTTTGATGCCTTTTTTGTTTGTTTTTTTGAGTCACACCCAGTGATGCACAGGGGTTACTCCTGGCTTTGCACTCAGGAATCACTCAGGGGACCATATGGGACGCTGGGAATCAAACCCGGGTCGACCATGTGCAAGGCAAACACCCTACCCGCTGTACTATCGCTCCAGACCCTACTTTGATGTCTTAAGAAGCACCCTTATTTCTCTTATAATAGTTCCCTGTGACCTTTTCATCACAACCTACATTTCAGTTTATAAGCAGTTTTCATGTGCTGTGAGTTTCTTGAAAGCTGAAAACTGACCTTTTTTTAACTTACTGCTAAGCCCCAGTAAATGAATAAGTGAATTCTTTCTCTCTACCAACTAGGCATGAATCATCTGATATTTAGATAATTCAGTTTATGATCCACTCCTCTCTCACTTTGCTCTGTACAGGCTCACCACAAAAGCCATTCTGTCCTGTCTACTCTAGGCATTTACGACGGGGCTGGGCAATGAGTAAGTGCCTAACGAGGAAGGGTTTGATGCATAGGAGAGACCTCCTACCCACCACTGAGCCAGATTTTAGCTTTGCTTATTTCCTCCTGCTCCAGTAAGAAGACACCAATCACAGTCCAAGCTAAAATGTTTGTTCTGCTTTATTAGTTCTGAGAGAGAGGACTCACCCAGTGGTCTGTTATTTTCCCATACTATGCCCTCCCGCCATCTTGTGGCCCTCTCCCCTCTACTACCTATCTAACTAACCCTCCTTTCCCCTCTACTCCTCAAGCCGGTCTGAGCTTGGCCTGCCTGTATCCTCAGGCCAGGACCTCAGCTGTGGGGGCGAGTGCTGAGGACCAGGCAGAGTGAGCTGAGCCCAGCGCCTGCCTTCTCCAGTTCTGAGCAGGACACAGGGACCAGGGTGACATCGGAGAGCTTCTGGAGTGCCTGCAGGGAAGATATGGAGTGGGAAGAAGGAGAGGAGAATGGGAGACCACAGCAAAAGCCCCCACCCCGCCCGCTTCCAATCAGCTCGGCCTGGCCCCAGTAAGACCCCACTCGCTTCCAACTAGCTTGACCAGGCCCCAGCTTGGTTCTCCTGCTTCCTCCTACAAGAAGTTCAGAGTCTCTGGTTTCTGGCTTCCTCCGCTCACCTCCTGGCTGTTGGGGAGATCTCCCCCTCCACGGTGCAGGAGGAATGGGAGCGCACCGGGCAACCCAGGGCGCAGGAAGAGACAGTCAGCGGCTGCATCGTCTGGGAGGGTCAGGGAGGCATAGGGGTGGTCGGTCAACATTGCCATTGCCTGGGAGAGAGGATGAAGACAGCCTTTGAGGCCCTGAGAGATGCTGGACAGATTAGAGCACATACTCTGCACGCAGAAGGCCAGGTGGTGTTTGTTTGTTTTTGCCACACCTGACTGTGCTCAGGGGTCAGTCCTTTGAGTTTGAGGAAACATGAGATATGGGGGATCAAACCCAGGTCAACCACATGCAAAGCAAGTGCCTTACCTGATACACAACCTCTTGACCCCTGGATATATTATCTCTTGACCCCCTGTGACCTAGGTTTTATCCTCAGCACCAAATGATTCTCTGAACACTGCCAGGAGTAGCCCTGAGCACTGCAATTTTGGTTACCCCATCCTTACCCCCCACCAAAAAAAAAGAAGAAAGCATTCAAGTCTCAGGACTTCTCATCAAGTGAGTCTGGCTGCCCTAGCACTAAGGACAGAGTTAGATAGGTGGAATAATAACTTGAGTTTAGTGAGCACATAGTGCTAAGTATCAGGCAGTCTTCTAAAAACTAGTTACTGTTGCTAATATCTACCCCAGACTCTTGCATCTCTTTTACTTGCAACTTTCTTTTGCCCTTCTCTAAACCCCACCTATCCCTCAATTTACCTTTTTTTTTTTTTTTTGGTTGTTTGTTATTGGCTTTTGGCCCACACCTGGTGATGCTCAGGGGTTACTCCTGGCTCTGCATTCAGGGATCACTACTGGCTGGTGTCCTTACCCTTTGTACTATTTCTCTGTCATAATTCACCTTTCATGTGATAGTTTGTGTTTCGTTTAGTTTTGTTTTGGGGCCACACCCGGCTTGCTCACGGAACATATGGGTTTCCAGGATCAAACTCGGGTCAGCTGCATTAGCTCTACCTGCTGTTTGAATGTCATCCTTGGAAAGTTTCTCAGAACTGGGAAAACGATAATAACTGCCCCTGTTCCACAGTGTCCCTGGCCCTTTACAATAACTCCTGGCTTTTGTTTTAGATAAACAGGACCAGAGAGAAGGCTCAAAGGGCTGAGTTTATGCTTTGCATGCAGGGGTCCCCAGTACAATCCCCAGCATGGTCCCCAAACCCCTCAGGGAGTGACTGCAAGCACAGAGCTGAAAGCTCCTCACACCACTTGAGTGTTCCCAGTCCCCCCTAAAAAAAACAAAAAACAAAGCAAAAAAACCTAGCAAAACATTAGATGGACAGCTCTGGTGTGGAGAGGTGTTGGAGGTAACCATGGGCCTCCGTGTTCCCGCCTCCCGGCCCTGGCCACGCCCCCAGCCATGAGCCACGCCCACCCCTGGTGGGTCCAGGGGTCCCTTCTCACCCGGACAGCCTTTTGGGCAGCTTCACTGCTACCAGCCACCACGGTACGGGGTCCCCCCATTCCACAGAGGCCGCGCAGGTGGGAAGAGCTGGAGACGGGCACTGTGGAGACTGCGAAATCCTAGCGAGAACCAGAGAACGTATTCACGGGGAGGAAGAGACGAGGAGATGCCCACGAACAGAGGCGGCTCTGGGCCCTGGCGGCGCCCCCACCCCCGGCAACTCCCGGGCGCTCCTCCCTCCCCGCCAAGGATGGTCCAGCTGTTCACCCGGAAAGTGTCTGCCACGAACTCAGCTCCCCGGTGATTGGTCCACTTGGAGAGGCCTACGAAGAACTCCCGGCCTGGTCGCAGGGATGAAAGGGTGGGAGGGAGTTGGAAACAGGACTCCAGGCGGCCCGTCCCCCCAGCTCCGCGTCCCCCTGCCAGGCCCGCGCAGGCAGTCCAGCCTCACCGGTGAAAAGAACGTCAGTGCCGTCCAGCGTGGCGTTCTCGTCCCCCATCTCCACGATCCGGAGCCCCAGGTCCTGGAGGGCTTTGCGGACTCCATCGACCTTGGGACAGACGAGGGCAAGGGCGGAGACACTTTCAGCCTCGGGTCTTTCCTAACACCCCTGGACATCAGCTCTTCCTCCCTGCCGGTACCCCACCCGCACCCTGGCGCCCACCTCCGGTCTTCGGGCTGGGCTCCAGGGCCGCGTGATTAGGGCTGTGTCCCCTTGGATTACAGCAGTGTCACCGAGCAGCGGTCCCAGCGGCAGCGACTCTTCAGGAGGCAGTTCTAGCAGCTGCAGCCCCAGGCGCTGCCTCAGTTTACCCCCGAGCACTCCGTGCTCCCTTTGAGCCTTGGCCAGGTCCAGAGCAGGAAGACCGGCTCCCACCGCCTCCCCTGATGCCAGGCTCTCGGGGACCCCCCGGATCAGGGCATGGGAGCAGCGGCCCAGCCCCTCCCCTGGCGTCCCCATCCCATGCACACAGAGGACCCCTCTGCTCGTGCTGTCGTCTGAGTTTCTGGTTTTGTTTTGTTTTTTTCTCACCTGTCTGGGAGGAGAGACAAAAAGTGGGGAGACAGAGAAAGACATGCAGAGAAAAGGGGTTGGGGGTGATTTGGAGCGCCCGGGTCTTCCTCCGCCTTGTCCCGGCGCCCCTCCCACCGCGCCCCACCAGCGCCAGACCTTCCTCCCGGCGACCCCAATCCACCTCGCACCCTTGCGACTCAGCTGCTTTCAGGAGGAATCAGAGGAACCAGACCGGGAGCCCTAATCCCGTCAGCACCTGTTGCCCCTGCTCAGAGGGGCTTCGTGAGGTCCCCGCCGGCGCCCCTCTTGGCAGCCGCTAGGATGCGCTCACTCCCCAAAAATGCAGCGGTCCCTCCCCTTTAACCCTCCGCCGCTCTCCGGCTCCGATAGAGACTCCAAGTGCCGAGAAGGACCCACAGAGGTGATGGGGCAGCAGGAGACCGCTAGGGCGTGTCAGGGCCTGAGGGGTGAAGTCCGCGATGGGCAACCCAGTAAGGAGCAGCGGGGCCAGGAGAGGGAAAGCAGAGCCGAAAGAGTTAAATCTCCTCTCCCCACCCGGGCCGGTCACGCTACCCGGAGCGCGACCCAGTACAAACCAGACCGAGTCCCAGAGGACTGGGAGAGGTCCACAGCGAACACCGAGAGGCGGGGAAGTGGGGGGCGTGGTTCCGGGGAGCTGGCGCCGCTCTGGGCACTCGAACCGACCCCAGATCGCCCAGTCGAGCTTCCCCAAAGCCCATCCCGCCCAGCGCCGCAAACGATGACCCTCCCCCCCTGCACTCTGTCCGGTGCAGGGACCGGCCCAACATCCCCAAACTCTGCGTCCCGCACAATCCAGAGGACACCCCCCCCCCCCATTCCAGACTCACCTCCAGCGGCCACCCCTACTGCTGGCCGCTCCGAGATCGTGGCTGGGGCCCCACCCCCCTGAGAACAGAGTTGATGGAGAAAGCGGTCCTAGGTTTCGAGCTTTGGAAAGTGGAGCTCTGGTTTTTGAGGGATCTCTGGGTAACGGAGCTCAAGTACTATGGTGGGGCGGGGGCGCGACGGTCTGGCTGCTAGCGGGCATTGTCTAAGCGGGACGGGGCGGAGCTCCCCCAGGCCACGCCCATTCCGCCCAGCTAAGCAGCGCCCACCGCACCCCCTCCCTCCGAACCCGGTCCCGCCCCTCCAATGGATGCAGCCGGGGCCCACCCGAGCCAGCCAGCCTGCCCCGGCGGCTGGGCGGCAAACGCGACATGGACCACGAGACAGTGCTAGGGGGACCGGCTCTGAAAATGGCAGCACCACCGCAAACACCCCCTCCTCTTAATTCCAGGCTTGTGCCCTGAATTCAAGGTCACTGAACCACCCTTCATTCCGAGCCACCCACACTTCACGCCCCCTTTGTGTAAAAAGCAACACTAGATTTTTTTCCTTCGGCATTTTATTACTGAAATACATTGTCCTACCCGCCCCACCCGCCCCACCCCACAATAAAAACCACCCCCATCTGCAGCTTTTCCCTCATGGCCTCTCCCACCCCCAGCCAGCCCTGCACAAGTGCTCCAGGATTCTCTGCCCACTGACCATTCTGGAGTGTGTCCATTGGGTAGCCATGTGCAAACCACCCCGTGGCCTTTGTGGAGAAAATGAGGGGGCTCAGGGAGGCAAGAGGATCTTATTTGAGGGCCTTGGCTACTTCCTCGTAGGCCAGCTCAATTTCCTCGTCATCTGGACAGGTGGAAGCAAATTCTTCCCGGGCGTAAGCATTGCGCAAGTACCGATGTACTCCGCGGAAGGCCTCCGGGATGGAGAATCCGCGGTACTTCTTACACACCACCTAGGGTCGCGGAGGAGGGGCATCAAGTTAAACACAGTGACATACAGCAGGCCTTGCTAGTGCTCCTTCGGGTCTCCTGAAGCCTATATTAAAGTATTTTCTGGTCCTGGGTGCTAGGGAGATATTACAGAGGGGAGAGTGCTTGCCTGGCACGTGGCCAACCAGCGTTGATCCTGGCACAGGCATCCCATAGCCCTCCCCCCCACTGTCAGGAGTAATTCCTGAGTGCAGTCAGGAGAAACCCCTAGACATCGCCAGACGAGACCCCTAAACAAACAAACAAAACATTTTTTTTTAAGTACTTTCGGGTCCAGACAGTAAAGAACCTTGACTTTCCCCTTATTCCTGTCATTCTTATTTCTCAGACAGATCATTTTCCCTAACAGACAGATGTTCTTAGCTCAAGCCCCAATCTAGGGACTGGAAATAGTACAGCAGGTAAGGCTTGTTTTGCATGCAGCAAAGCTGGGTCTGATCCCTGGCACCTGACATGGTCCCCAGGCCCTGCCAGGAGTGATCCCTGAGCACAGAACCAAGAGTAAGCCTGAGCACTTCAGATGTGGCCTCCAAAAAAAAAAATAAAGAACAAAAAACTCCCCATCCCCACCTTTACTCTCCCTCTCTACTTACTGAAAAATTGGCCAATTAAAATTGGCCTCTTTTCAGAATATCCCCTTCCATGGCACCACTTTTTCTCCTCTTGAATTTACTGATATATAATTCACAAATCATTAAAACAATTCTTTTGTTTTTCTTTTTCTTTTTTTTCCTCTTTGGGTCATACCTGGTGATGCTCAGGGGTTACTCCTGGCTCTGTACTCAGGAATTACTCCTGTATCGGGGGACCATATGGGATGCTGGGAATCGAACCTGGGTCAGCTGCATGCAAGGGAAACGCCCGACCCGCTGTGCTATCATTATCATTCCAGCTCCTCTTTTTTTTTTGGGGGGGGGGGCCACACCTGGCAATGCAATGCACAGGGGTTACTCCTGGTTACTAGGCTCTGCACTCAGAAATTACCCCTGGCGGTGCTTAGGGGGACCATATGGGATGCTGGGAACCGAACCCGGGTTGGCAGCGTACAAGGCAAATGCCCTACCCGCTGTGCTATTGATCCAGTCCCCCAGTCCCTCTTTTGTATTTTTACAGTAAATTTTTAAATGGTTTTTATTAGGGGGATGAAGGAGACGTTACTGGGGCCTGCTCGAGGCAATCGACGATTAACAGGATGATTTGTGATTTGATTTGTGATTTATTAGGGGGAAGGCACTTCCAGTGGTGCTCTGGGGATCATGAGATACTCGTTATCAAACCTGGACCTCAGCATGCAAAAAGTAACTTGTCTGTTTTGTTTTGTGTTTTGCAGTATTGAGGGTCAAACCCAGAAGGGCTCACACACAGGTTTAAATTCTACTAATATGCCACAACCCTGGCACTCCCTTGACTTTTTTTTTTTCTTTTTGGGTCACACCAGCAATGCACAGGGGTTACTCCTGACTCATGCACTCAGGAATTACTCCTAGCGGTTCTCGGGGGACCGTATGGGATGCTAGGAATCGAACCTGGGTCTGCCGCATGCAAGGCAAACGCCCTACCTGCTGTGCTATTGCTCCAGTCCCCACCCCTTTGACTTTTTTTGGTGGGGCACAACCGGTGGTCCTCAGGGTTTACTCCTGGCTCTTCACTCAGGGGTTAGTTCTGGAGGGCTCAGGGGACCATATGGGAGACTCAGGGGACCATATGGGGTGCCAAGTATAGAACACAGTTGGCTGCATGCAAGTCAAGCACCTTACCCACTGTATTATCTCTCTGGCCCCCCGATTATATATATAAAACAATATATTAATTATATACGATAACTAATATAATTATATTGTATTAGCATAATTAATGTTATAATTAAAATTATTAATTTTTAACCATGTATTATCACTTTCATGTGACTCTCTTATCTTTTCAACTAAATCAGTCTTTCTCAAAGTGAGTGGTATCATTTTCCTGGAGTGGTGTTGTTAGAAAGATTGGGGTTGGGGGGGGTGATTAATTGTAGCCTCTGGTGCAACTAGGTGGAGACTTAGGAAAGTAAGTGGTTAGGGATTGAATCCAGGCCTCCTGCATGTGAAGTATAACATCTAGTCTGTTGAATTATCTCTCTGACCCAGGATCTGATATCTAGATAAGAGGTTCCCAAAGGTTTTGACCTAACACTGTTCCTTTCCTTTTTTTTTTTTTTTGCTTTTTGGGTCACACCCAGAGATGCTCAGGGGTTACTCCTGGCTCTGCACTCAGGAATCACTCCTGGCGGTGCTCAGGGGCTCATATGGGATGTTGGAAATCTAACCCGGGTCGGCCGCGTGCAAGGCAAACGCCCTACCCGCTGTGCTATAGCTCCAGCCCCAATACTGTTCCTTTAATCCCCAGCATCCCATATGGTCCCCCAAGCCTGCCAGGAGTGATCCCTGAGCACCACTGAGTTTGGTCCAAAAACCGGAAAAAAATCATTGCCAAGTGAAAAGATGTTCAGTACACAGTTGTGTGGCAAACTGGTACTTGGTACATTTCATAAACTATACCATAACTTTAAAGCTATGACAATAATGTGGGAGATGTGCTTCTTTGTCTTTTGGTTTTGGTCTACATTTTGAGGTACTTCAGGGCCTACTCATAGCTGGGTACTCAAGAGTGACCCCTGGTGGTACTCGGAAGACCATATATATGATCAGCTGCATGCAAGGCAAGCACTTTCTTTAGCTTCTATATACTAACTCTTCAGTCCTCGGAGACTTCTTTCTCTTTTTTTAGAACGTGCTCAGGTGGTAGATCACCTGACTAGAATGTGAGAATTCTCAAGAAATCTTTAGCATCACAGATCATGGCCATAGTGCCCCTAGCAGAACCGATCTGGGCCCGAGGACCAAATAGTAAAACCCATTAGACCCATACCACAAGGCTAACCATCTCCAGGAATGGCCCAGAATCCCACAAGCACCGCTATAGGAAGCAGCAGTTTTGATCTATAAAAAGAGTTAAAACTTTGATTTTTGTTTGTTTGTTTTAGGGCCACACCTGGTGATGCTCAGGGGTTATTCCTGGCTCTGCACTCAGAAATCACTCTTGGCAGTGCTCAGGGGAGCAATGGCTGCTGCGAAGGAATGGGGTGATGTCTGTAGCAATCTATGGAAATAATTCTAAGGGAAAAAATCCATGTTTGGAGTAGTAAACATGGGAAGCCTGTGTGGGAGCTACTGAAGAACCACCCCAGCCACCATCTTCTCCAGGGCCCACCCACCTGCACTATGTGAAGCTTTGGTAACAGGTTGCAGTCAGCCAGAGTGAGTTCATTGCCATCCAGAAACTTCCTCTGAGAGACGCCTTCATCCTCAGCACTGGTCTCATCTACTTCCTCTGGGAGCGGACATGTCAAGTAGTTGTCTAGAACTTTTAGGGCTTTCAGGAGCCCCTTCTCCAGGTCTGTGAAAAAGAGAGGAGTTGGTAAGAATATTAGAAGACTGACAGAGCTGAGGAATGCCCAGGTGTGGAGAATTCTAACGGTAAAGCCAATTCATAATAATAATAATAGCGGGGCTGCTAGAAAGATAGTACAGCAGGCAGGCACCTGCCCTGCACATAGGTGACCCAGGAACCCAGCATCCTGAGTCTCACAAGGAGTGATTCCTAAGTGTGGAATCAGGAGTAAGCCCTGGACATTGCTGGGTATGACCCCCAAACCAAAATCACTGTCACTGTCACTGTCCTCCCAGTAACGTCTCCATTGTGATACTTGTTACTGTGTTTGGCATATTGAATACATCATGGGTAGCTTGCCAGGCTTTGCCATGTGGGCGAGATACTCTCGGTAACTTGCCGGGCTCTCTGAGAGGGGTGGAGGAATCGAACCTGGGTCGGCCAGGTCGGTCATGTGCAAAGCAAATGCCCTATCCACTATGCTATCACTCCAACTCCCAAACCAAAATAATTATAATACGCCCTCTCTTCTCTGGAAAGAAGGATGGCGGCCGCATGGGGGCCTTGTGGACAGCAGGTATGAGCCGGGGGTGTGGGGGCGACTAAAACCTCATGGGAAGGGGGGCGTTCCGGTCCGTCCTTCACGCCCTACCGAGGCCACCAGTTGCCCCCAACGAGTGGCTCTCCAGCATGGCCACAGCCCCAGAAACACAAAGATTTAATGCAGAACCCAGCAGCTTGGAGCAGAAAAGTGAACGGACTATGCATTAATTCAGGCCATCAAGTCTGCTGGAGGGGAAAGGGCGTTGCCCCATTGGCCCTCTCCTCTCTGGAAAGAAAGATGGCGGCCACATGGGAGCCTTGTGGACAGCAGGCATGAGCCAGGGGTGTGGGGGCGACTAAAACCTCATGGGAAGGGGGGCGTTCCGGTCTGTCCTTCACGCCCTACCGAGGTCACCAGATGCCCCCCACGAGCGGCTCTCCAGCACGGCCACAGCCCCAGAAGCACAAGGACTTAATGCAGAACCCAGCAGCTTGGAGCAGAAAAGTGAACGGACTATGCGTTAATCCAGGCCATCATGTCTGTCCGGAGGGGAAAGGGTGTTGCCCCAGTCGCCTTCTCCTCTCTGGAAAGAAAGATGGCGGCCGCATGGGAGCCTTGTGGACAGCAGGTATGAGCCGGGGGAGTGGGGGCGACTAAAACCTCATGGGAAGGGGGGCGTTTCGGTCCGCCCTTCACGCCCTACCGAGGCCACCAGTTGCCCCCCACTAGCGGCTCTCCAGCACGGCCACGACTCCAGAGCACAGAAACCAATTTCTTAACTATCTGACTTTCAGTAGAAATACTTCCAGGGTCAATAAGTAAAATAGCAGAAATCCAAAACCAACATTTAATTCTTGAACCCAGCTGTAGAAAGCAAATCACTTCACAATGCTTTTTCAGCATGTCTGATTTGGGGGGGGGGGTAAACTCTAAATAATAGTGGTGAATCTTTTATTGAAACAATGAATCTAATCAAAGCAGATAGAGTGTTAACTAGAATTCATCTGCCCCACAGGGACTGGGAGGGGTGGGGAGTGGGGTTTTATTGGGGTTCTTCATGGTAAAAAATAATTATTGGTAAAGGGAAATGTGTTTGATATTTGCATGACTGAGACCTAAACCTGAAAGCTTTGTAACCTTTCCCACGGTGATTCAATAAATAAATAAATAAAAATAATTATAATAAAATAACAAAACTACTGGAGAGAGTACAGTAGGCAGGTGATGGCCTTGCATTGGGTCAGCCTGGGTTTGATCCCTGGCACCACATATGTTACTTCAAGCCCACCAGGAGTAAGATTCCTGAGTGCAGAACCAGGAGAAACCCCTGAGCATCACCAGGTGTGGCCCAGAAACTAACTGAATAAATAAATAAAGGAGAAGGTCAGAGAGAAGGTGCAAAGAACTGAACTCACACTTTGCACAAGGGATGGCTAGGTTTAATCCCTAAGTGTGGATCAAAGAACTGACCTTCTCTTCCCCCCACCAACTTTCCTCCACCCCACTCCCCCCCAAAAAAAATAGGAAAAGAAAGAAAACTAGGGACAGAGAGATATAGTTCAGAGGTTTGGTATGTGTACTTTGCCTGTTGGAGGCCCAGGTTCCAACTTTGGCATAAGCCCCTATCACCACTGGTGTGGCCCCCCAAACCAAAACCAAAAAAAAAAAACAAAATAAATATTAAAAAGAAAAAAATAGGGGCTAGAGAGATAGCACAGTGATTAAGATGCTTGCCTTGCATGTGGCCAACCTGGGTTGATTCCCCCGGTATCCATATGGCCCCAGGAGCAGTCCTAGGAGTAATTCCTGAGTGCAGAATCAGGAGTAACTCCTGAGCAAAGCTGGGTATGGCTCAAAACCCAAAAATAAAGAAAAGAAAAGAAAAGAACAGCTAATACTAATGTAGTTGGTTTTCTAAGTATTATTCTAAGCATTTAACTATAAAAATCCATTTCTCGTACTAAACCATGAAATAGATATAGATATCTGCATTTTATAGATCTGGAAATGGATTTGCAGAGGTTAAAAGAATCACCCAAAATCACATAGCAAGGAGGATTTATACTCAGTAGTCTGGATCTAGAATCACTATTCACAAGTACATCCCTATTTTGTCATAGAACTATCCAACAGCCAACCCAATCAATGTGTTCTGGGGCAGAAAAGGCTAAGGAGTGGAGTTCATGCCCAATTCAATCTGCCTAATCAATGGCTGAATAAATAGCAGTACTCCTACATTAAAAAAACAAAAAGGCTAAGGAGCAAATAAGAGACTTAGAAGTTATGACCCCCGTGAGCTGGGGTTGTAGCTCAGTGGTAGAGCACTTGTCTTGGATGGATGAAGCCCTGAGTTCAGGCCCTTGGATGTGTGAGGCATCGCCAAACAAAAACAAAAAAATCATGACCCATGCTAGAGATGTAAGTCAGTGGTAGAACACAGGCCTGGATTTGACCTCCAGCAACTCTTTCACCCACTAAAAGAATCATGAACCTGAAATTTGCTAATGCTTGAATGGACATTGAGAGTATCGTGCTGGGTAAAATGAGGGAGAGGGACATTCATAGAAGAACAGCACCCATTTTGGAAATGATCACTCTGGACAAGAACTGAGTCCTGACAGGAGGTAAAGGGATATATATGATAACCTTCAGTAACAGTATTATAAACCACAGTGCCTAAAAGGAAAACTGGGGATACTGTTGAAGGAATAGATCTTGGAACATTGTATGACTCAAACCCAATCTTGAACAATTCTGTAACTGTGTATCTCATGGTTTTTTAATTAAAAGAGAAAAAACAAATTGGAAAAAAAAAAAGAATTATGAACCAGGAGGGGCAGGGGAAATGGCTCTAAGGGCTAGAGTATATGCTTTACTTGCAGACGGCCTGGGTTTGATGGCTCCCCCCAACCACCACTGGGGTTTGGGTGTATGTCTTCCCATCCTGTAAAAAAAAAATCAAATCAAACCTCAAGTGTCTGCCTACAAAAAAAAAAAAATCATGAGAGGGCTGGCAGGAGGGCGTTCGCTTGCATGCGGCCAACCCGAGTTCAATTTCCAGCATCCCATATGGTCCCCCAAGCATCGCCAGGAGTCATTCCTGAGTACAGAGCCAGGAGTAACCCCTGAGCATCACTGGGTGTGACCCAAAAAAAAAATGTCATGAGCCATGAAATTGCAATGAATTAACCAAAAATGAGGTGGGGTTTGTGGCAGTAGTTTGTCAAGAGCTACTCCATTTCTCTGAAAACAATTTATGGGTATCTGTAGTATTTCCCAACTCCTGGATCTTCTCCATTCTTCCCAGGAACCACAAACTCACTGTCATTAAGTGCTGGGTTTGAATTCTTGATGTAAGCAGAAAACTTGGAAAAGATGTCCAGGCCAGCTGTGTTGGATTCAGGATTCAGAGCTGCCAGCTTAGGGTATCTGAAAGCCAATGAGAAAAGAGGCTAAGATATATTCCAGGGATGAACCTCAACAATTCTGCCTCAACCACACCAGCACTGTTTGTCATATATATATATATTATAAAAAATATATATTTTTCTTTTTTGGGTCACACATGACAATGCACAGGGGTTACTCCTGGCTCATGTGTTCAGGTATTACTCCTGGCGGTGCTTGGAGGACCATATGGGATGCTGGGAATCGAACCCGGTTGGCCACGTGCAAGGCAATCACCCTACCCGCTGTGCTATTGCTCTAGCCCGTTTGCCATTTTTTCAACCTCTCTCTTTCCTAGACTTCCAGCCACTCCTCCCCCCTTTCCAAATGCCCCTATACCTGGGTGGGCACAGCACCGCCTCCAGAAACTCCTCAATCTTGTTGGTGTCCGTGTGCACTTCAGTGCTGTACAGGAGGAATGGGAGCTGCCCACCAGGACACAGCTTCTGGACCGTCTCAGTCCGCCTGGAGAAAAGGTCAATCAGAAGGACAGGAAAGAGGATCAGATAGGATATATGGGGGGTGTGGGTGGAGAAGGTGGAGAGGGAATGGAACTTTGGGATCAAGAGTTCAAGAGCTCAATGCACAGGTATGCACAAGGGGTTCTTTGGGGAACAGAAACGAGCCTACCTCTTGGTGTCGACCGTGGTGACATTAAAGGTGACTCCCTTGAGCCAGAGGACCATGAAGAGTCTCTGAGAGAAGGGGCAGTTTCCAATCTTCGCCCCATCACTGCCAGCCTGAAAAGCAACCCCACATCCAGTGTACGCACCGTCAGTGCTTAGCGTTTCTCGGATCTAACTTTCCTATTAGTTCATAATATACCCTCAGTCTTCCCATCTATACCATTTTTTTTTTTGGTGGTAGTGGGTGGGGGACCCATATGGTGACCCTCAGGGCTTACTCCTGGCTCTACTAAGGAATCACTCCTGGGAACTATATGGGACCCTGGGGATTGAACCTAGGTTAACCATGCAAGATAAGTGCCCTACCCATTGTACTATCTGCAACCCTGTTGGGGCTATCAGCAACTGTCCCACCAAAACTAGGTTCTCCCAGGGGCCAGGTTACATCAAGGGCAGCTCAATCGGGACACTTCCTGCATAGGTGAGCTTTTGCCTCTCAGAGAAAAGAAGACAGCAAAGAAAAGACAGGCCGAGGGAACAAGTGTTAGAAAATGGGGAGGCCTTACAGAGAGAAAAGAAGTACTAACATACTTGATTTTCTATGCACTGCGTTAAACACTTTACATACAAAAGTTTACTTAATTTTCACACCAACCTACGAATAGCCCCTAGAGAGAATACTGGACAGGCCAAGTTTCAGCACCTGAGTTCCTCAGCACCTGTGGACTGGACAGTTTGGAAGTCTGGAAGCCAGAGTATGGAAGTCTGGAAGCCTTCTGTATCGCTCACTCAAGCCAGCAGCTAGGTGGGGTGTCTAGGGGGCTCTAAACCTTGCCCTGGCGATGTGGAAGGCCTTGCGGAGGGGGGCTGCCCTCTAATTGGCAGGCAGGTGGTGACTTCATCTCCGAAGGGAAACCTCCCCTAGCTGAGAGTGATTCATCTCACATAGGCTCCAACCTCAGCAGCTTCCTTCCGGGAAAGACGGGGAGGGGACCTGTGAGGCTGAAGTATGGGCAGCCAGGCACCTTCTGCTTGGGCCCCAAACACCCTGCACCCACCCGCACCCTTTCCCTGACCCTGCCGGAGTCTCCCAACACCAGGGCTGCGGCTCTAGAGAATTCCCCTCACCGGATGAGGCCAAAACCGACAGCGCGGCCTCACCCAGGGGTAAAAATAGCCCTTTAGGCGAGTGTGAAAGTGAGGTGGGGACCACACCTAAGGGGGGGCGGAACCGGACCGGCCGCTGGACAGAGCCAGGCAGGGAGGAGAGAGAGGGAAAGGCAGACCAAGAGGCCCGGCCGCTGGCTACAGTGCAAAGACACCAGCAACAACACACAAAGGCGAGATGAACAAAAGGGAGGAAGTGGGGAGACAGGCCGCAGGAAAGTGAAGGGTGGGGGAGAGTGTGCGCACGAGGAGGCACCGAGGGGGAAACCCAAAGGAGGGGCCCCGAGGGCAGAGCTGACTTCTAGGAGGGGAGAGAAAGTGGGGGCCTGGGGGAGGGGAGCCGGGCCGACACTGCCGGCGGCCGCCTGGGGTTGTGCCATCCACCGGCCAACCGACCACGTCCCCCGACCACACCCACAGGGAGGGAAGGGAGTTGGGGTTCCACAACTCCCAAGCCCTAAACACCCCATCCCACCTTTCCTCCTGTGCCTGGTGGCTCTCTCCCACCCCAGCTCTGCCCCAGCTAAAATTCCATTTGCCCTCGTCCCCCTTTCTCTCGATTTCCCCAAGGGTCCAGGACTTGCCCACGCACTCCATCACCTCCCCAGCCAGATCCCCAACGTTTCGGGACTGACCCGCGTCCAGGTCTCCCTGACGACAGACACCCTCTTCCTGGAACCCTCCCCTCCCCCCCGCGAGGGCGCACGCAGGAGCACCTCCGAGGGGCCCCCACGACACCCACCCTTCCGATCTGTCGGAGGACGCGGGCTGCTCCCCCACCCCACCCCTACACCCAGCCGGGCTCCCCTCCCGGGTCCCCTCTCTGCCCTCCCGTCCTTCTGGGAGCTGCAAACGGAACTTGGAGCAACTTTCGGGGCAGAGTCAGTGACTTCTCGTTACCTGCCCGCGGCTCGCGGCTCCTCGTCGCCTCCCCTCCCCGCCGCCCGCACGCCCTCCCCAAGTAACTGCACGCGGGGCTGGGGGCGTCGGCAGGAAGCGGGATCGGGGAGCCGCGTCCCGAGGGGGTCCCGGGGGGGGGGGGGACTCGCCTTCCAGGAATTGCGCCGGGAAGGAAGAAGTTCTTACCTTCACGAACAACTCGACCTGCGGCTGCTCTTCAGCCATGGTTGCGGCGGGTGCAGGAAGCGCCGTCTCGGGGGAACTGGAAGGGGCGCGGCCGGGGAAGGCGGGTCTCGGGGCCCAGGCGCTCCCCCAGACCTAGGGCTGTGCAGGCGGCGCGCTCGGCCCGATCCGTCCGTCCCGCGCGCTCCGGGCACGGCCACCGCGCGCGGTCCCCGCTCTCGATCCCCTCCCAGAGCAGCTGACTCATGGGCCGGCCCCGCCCTGGGCCCGGGGAGGGGACGGCGGGGGCGGGACCCGGCCGGCCAGGGACTGGGTCTCCCAAGGGTCTCCCTCAGGACTCCGGCCGGCCGGGCTGTCCCGGCAGGGGAATCCTGGCAACGTGTTGGTTTCCCCACTTGAGATCTCATTGCACACAGGTCTTGTCGTGACTCAGTTTCCCTGCTTTCTTGAGGCTCAGAGCCCTCCCACTTGACTCTCTTCACGCCCACTTGGCTCTCAGGAAATTTGACTCCGCTTAGAGAACGACCCTTGTGGTCCCTAAAAGGGAATTTTATTATTGGGCTGGAAAGATAGCACAGCGGTAGGGCTTTTGCCTTGCCCGCAGCCGGGTTCGATTCCTCCGCCCCTCTCGGAGAGCCCGGCAAGCTACCGACAGTATCGCCCCCACGCCAAACACAGTAACAAGAAATCTCAAAATGGAGACGTTACTGGGCCCGCTGGAGCAAAATCAATGAACAACGGGAGGACAGTGTTTGTTTGTTTGTTTGTTTGCCTTCCCTTTGGATTTTAGTTCAAATTCTGGGTTGCTGGGACTATGGCCCAGCTGAAGAGTTTGGGATGGGAGCTGGGACTGGAGGAAGAGAGTGAAAGAAGGGGCAGGGGGTGGGATGGGAAGGGATTCAACCAGGCGGAGCTGGAGCTAGGGAAACAGGAAGCACAACCAAACTGTCTTGCCCGCCTGGGAAAGCCAGGCTGTTTTCTAGCAGGGTCAGCTTCACGGCTTCCACTTTTATTCCCACAAATATTTTCACATCCTGGGTTCCTTCCCATGCCCTTGCCCTTTCTTAACTGACACCTTGGAGAGGGTGGAAGGATGGGGCTATTGTGTCCCCAGGATGGGTGATTGTGATGGCTGTTCCTAAGTGTGGGAAAATGCAAACATCAGACAGTGTGGATGAAGTGACACTATTTGGGGACACAATAAGGACGGAGGCTAGCGGAAGAGTAGCTATTTCCTTCTTGAGTAACCTTAATTTAGGAGGTTCTATTATTATTATTATTATTTTTTGCTTTGACTTTTGGGTGGGGGCTGGAGCAATAGCACAGCAGTAGGGCGTTTGCCTTGCGCACAACCAGCCCGGTGGAGCCGGGTTCGGGGTTCGATTTCTCCGCCCCTCTCGGAGAGCCCGGCAAGCTACTGAGAGTATCTCGCCTGCACAGCAAAGCCTGGAAAGCTACCCGTGACGCATTCAATATGCCAAACACAGTAACAAGTCTCATGATGGAGATGTTACTGAGCCCACTCGAGCAAATCAATGAACAACGGGAGGACAGTGCAGTGCTACAGTGACTTTTGGGTTTTGGCCCACACCCAGCAGTGCTTAAGGCTTACACCTTGCACTGTACTCAGGGATCACTCCTGGTGGTGCTCAGGGGATTGAACCTGGGTCAGGTGCATGCAAGGCAGCTTTAGTTTATCTCCAGTTTATCTACTGTTTATTTACTTTATCTGTTTATCTAGAGCTTATCTACTTTAGTTTATCTCCAGTCCTAGATTCTATTAGATTTTTTATGAACTGCTGAGAAATAGCCCAAGAATATGTTCTCCAAACTGAACATATTTCTGCTTTCATATCTTGAGTTTCTCTCTTGCCCAACCAACCCATCCTTCCCCTTTAACACTCTCCAACTAGAGGACTAGAGATCCAGAAAAATGCAGTAGAGTGGGGCTGGAGCGATACCGCAGAGGGTAGGGCTTGCACTCGGACGACCCGGGTTCGATTCCCAGCATCCCATATGGTCCCTGAGCACCGCCAGGACTAAACTAATTCCTGCGTGCAGAGCCAGGAGTAACCTCTGAGCATCGCTGGGTGTGACCCAAAAAAGCAAAAAAAAAAAAAAAAAAAAAAGCAGTAGAGGGGCGGGACAGTGAGTAAGGGCGTTTGCTTTGCTTTACCTGTGGTTGACCTGGATTTGATCCCCGGCATCCCATATGATCTCTCAAGCTCTGCCAGGAGTAATCACTGAACTCCCTGAGAACTGCTGGTGTGCCCCTACACTCCCCCCCCCAAAAAAAGAAAAATACGGTGTATTACAAAGAACTTGACAACTAAAGAAAAGGGGGTGGGAGATAGTCCAGTTGTTAGGGTGTATGCCTGACATGCGCGTGACATGAGTTGAATTCACTGACCATTGCCTGTGTAGTCCTGGAGGTGCCCCGCTCCGCCAGATCTGGCCTCAGCGTCCTTGGCAGTACAGGGCCTAGTGGCCTACTTCCTCATGCCCTTGCAACTGAACCAAAAGCCCCAGTTGACTCAGAATCAAAGATGGAGTCCCAGAGTCTCCTGAGCACTACTTGGTGAGCCCCAAACCCCTCCAAAGAAAGGAAAACAAGAAATTAGAGAAAAGGAGAGACTTTGAGGAAGGAGTGATCCTATAAACCAGCAGTTAGTGGTTTCCCCTCAAGCTTCTTCTTTTTTTTCTTTTTTCTTTTTCTTTGGTTTTTGGGCCACACCCAGAAGTGCTCAAGGCCAGGGCTTACTCCTGGCTCTGTGCTCGGGGATCACTCCTGGCAGGGCTTGGGGGATCATATGGGATGCTGGGGATCAAATCTAGGTCAGCCACATGCAAGGCAAGAACCCTTCCTGCTGTACTATCTCTCTGGCCCCTGCCCCAAGCTTTTTTTCCCCCGATGGGTTTCTTCTTCCCAGAGAGGGATTTTAGCAGGTACTTGCTTCTTTGAGATGTAACATGTACGATCAAGTAGATGGATGTTGAAGGGTGGGAAACGATGTGTGTGTGGGGGATCTCTTCAAAATCTGTCCCCGATTCCCCTCCCTTCTGGGGTCTGGGTACAGTCAAAGCACCCTTCCTGGGGCTCCCTTCAGCTCTAGCTGGTCAGTGACCAACAGAGAATCTACCCCACAAAGATTTCCCCCTGGCAGAAGCCTCGGGCAAAGCTGCCCATTCTGAGCTCAAACAGGTTTGGCAGCTTCTCTCTGGCCTCTATTTTCTCGCTACAGCTTTATTGGCTGCAGCTGCCTTGATCATCAATATTGACTTTGGCTGGCTGGCATGGTTACCCACAAGGTATTTGGCCTTAACTTCTCAGATTACATGGCATGCTGCCCTCTCCTGGTCCCATTCAACAGTGGCCCCAGAACTGGCTATGTGTGTGTGGGGGGGTGGGGGGTGAGGGCGGCTGCCTGCGCCCCCAAATCATGTATGCGAAAAAATTTTTCTATATCATCTCCTGACTCTTGCTTTTCTTCTTTTATCGCAGTTGCTTTTCCTTTACAACTCTGACCTTCTTCCACTCCCTCTCCTTCCTTGGCTTGGTAAACTGGTGGCTAATCTCTTCTCAGCCCAGATTGGAAGGTGTGTTCCTCCCTGACACTCCTTAGAGACTCCTCCAGGTTTCCATAGCTCCATTACTCAACAATTTGCCAGGGGTAACCATTAACCCAACCCTTAACTCACTCCCCCACCTTTCTTGATACAGAGGATTTTCCTATGTTGGTTAGATGCTCAGGCTACTCCACTGTCTTTCCTAATCTCTTAGGTGGGATTTCTCCATTATAGGGGATCCAGAACAAAGTTGAGAAAGAAAATGCATTTTAATTTCCTTTTTTGTTGTTGTTCATTTTGTTGGGCCACACCCAGTGGTGTTCAAGGCTTATGGAACCTCAGAGCTTAGTGGTCACTACTGGCTCCTTGCTCAGGAAACCATGAGATTCTTGGGAATCAAATTTGAGTCTCAAAACACCAGTCTCCTCTATGCAAAGCATGCATGCCAGTACATTAAGCTGACTCAACTGTCCAAGGATTTTTTAAAAAAAGCTTTTTATTTTTGTCTTCACTTCTCCCTTCATACACACATTTAAAAATAATATTCGTGGAGCAGATTCTTAAATATGTTCACTTTTTTTTTTTTGGTGTGGGGAAGGGTTGAACCACACCTACTATGCTGAGGCACTGTATACTTGATTCTATGCTGGGGGGGTCACTCCTGATGGTTTTGGGGGATCCCTTGTGGTACCAGGGATCAAATCAGAGTTGCTGCAGGCAGGGCAAGTATCCCTTATTATCTTTCCAGAGCCAATTTATTACTTTTGAGTCACCAATAGGTCCAGAGCAGGCACTAAATAGTTGCTCAATAAATGATACTCCTCTGTCCCAAGATGTATGTTTGGGTTTACATAAGAGGAGGGGAGGGAACTATACATGTCCCCATAGGGGTGCAGTTGATCTTATCAGGTCTGCTTCTCTCTGCTGAAATTTAGTATAATTTGAAAATGTCCACTTCCCCTTGGAGGTTTGAAATTATAAATTAAGCCATGTAAAGACCTTGTGTGGTCATACCTTGGGTGTGGTCGTACTCTGCACCCAGGACATTAGAAAGGAGTTTGAGATCAGAGTCTCACTTCCTATTTCTGCTTCTTTATTTAAAACGCTCAAGTAAAACAAAAAATCAAAAGCTAAAAACTCATGTAGCTCTTATTATGTTTGCCAAGTGCTGTTTTAAGCTCCGTATAAACATTAACTCAGAGGGCACAAAGAGTAACCTAGAATTGTTGGCGTGGATTGAATTAATGCTATTTATCTCCACTATCCAAGAAAAAACGAAACAGAAACGCGCCTCTGGTTCATAAGGTCGTCGTTCTCCCCAGTTACCCCAAAGTCCTGTGTCAGGGCTCAGATGACAGTTATTTCCTCCTTCTCACAGGTCCCACCCGTATCAATCAGAACTCAGAAACCAAGCGGCCCAGAGCCCGGGTGCTTAGCAACGGTAAAGGGCGGGAAGTTTGAATGCCCTGACACCAGCCCATATGGGAATAGACCAATCAGCGTCCGACCTTCTAGACCACTGCCAACTCCCTCTCTCCCGGTTGGATCGCCAGGCTGACACGGGGCGGGGCGTATGCGCGCGCAGCCCGCCTGCAGTCGGCGCGCCCCGCCCTCGGGCACGCCCCTCTCTCTAGCAGACCGGTGGCTGCTAGT